ATGTGCCTTGTTTTTTAATATGCACTCCAAACTAGAGGGCCAGCTTGCCCCCGTTTTGCACAGTGCCTTTACAGATTTACCTATGAGCAACAGAGGACATCTGGACTCCAGAGTACTGTATCTAGACTTAACGTTGTCACTAATTCATTGCCATTGATTCCAGTTAAGGGAATCCATTCCAAGTTCTTTCTCCTGTCATTTGACATTATCTTCAGAGCCACATTTTAAACCTTTGGGTAATCAGATTTCCAACTTGTGCCTTCCAGGAAAAACACTACTGCCTAATACTGATCTGTGACAATAACAGGCTGTGCCTTATTTTGATCCTTTTCTGGTTCCTTGTAAGCCGTCTTCTTTTTGTAAGCAGTACTGACTCTTGCTGTATTTAAAATAAGATGCTGGTAAAGAATTTTTGCTCTTTCATTAGATATGAAGATGTTTACTTTCTTGTTATTGTTATATATATCACTTGCTAAAATATTAATTAGAAATAACCCCTTTGAAAAGTTTTTTAGAACTATGAACATGACCAAAGTTCCTAGTTTGCCAAAAAGTTAAATATGAATAAATTTTCCTTAAGTCTGTCCCTGACAGATAAATTCAGAAAAGTGCCAAATGGAATTCAAGGTGTCCTTCAAAAGGAGAATGGTAATGTTGTGTGTGGACCTTCCACACCCTGAGCACTGCTTTGTCTCTGAAATGCTGTAGATGGCGCCCATCCCTTCTGCTTCGGCCTTTTGCAGTGGGGCCTTTTGCAGTGGGGTTGAGAGGGGAGCGAGGCTCTCATTGTTTCATCTCACACTTGTAAACAAAGAGTTTTCCCAGCTTCTTGCAAACCATCAGCTGTGGGCTCCATTGTCTTTCTAATAATTACTTGAGCAACAGTTTTGTAGCCCTTTAAGTAAGAACACCTGTGCAGTTGGTCATTACCTAATCCAGTCCTCAGAGGTGATAGTTTTTTGAAGTTTGTTTCCTATTTTTATTCATATTCTGCTTCTTAAATCAGTCTTCTAAATTATGGTTGTGATGAGGCATTGGTTAGCGGTGGGTGACTCTTCACAGAGGATAGCTAGCCGAGATGCCTGCTTTCTTCAGTGACAAACTGCACAGGATGCTGCTGTGGAAATAGCTATTCTCATCTGAGAGACTTTTTGTTACATACATTAGACTTAACATGAGGTTATGTGGCTTAAAGGTGGGAATTCCAGTGTGAATGAAAGCAGGTTAGGAGGCACTGAGAGAGAAAAACACATGGGCTTTATTGCTCTGTGGCCCACTATTACTAGAATGTTCTAAAACGCTTGTTTACATGCTAGTATGACTTTACAAAGCAGCAACAGCTGAGCTGCACCAGGAACTGGTTCCATTTCTTTAGTATCTGTTTCCCTGATATCACTGAGATGATTTAATGTTGGAGACACGCCTTGCAGTATGCCCAGCCGTGAGAAAGCAGCTGTTGGTTTAGAGACATCTGCACATCCTCAGCACAGGGTCCCTAGCTGGGTCTGACTCTGAATCCTTGGTGCTCACCCCTCAGCCTTAATACGCAGTCCCACGTAACCCACTGGCTCCGGCATTAACCTAGGAATACCTCGCTTGTATCCGTGCATTTAGATGGGAACTCACGCGCTATAATGACCTGAATAAAGTGTTTATAAATATGACTCTGGCTCCTGTGTTCCTTAGCAATAGCTTTGCCTGGTCCAAGTACTGAAAATGGCATTCCTTGTGCCACTTCCTCCCTCTCCCTTACACACTGCACTTTCTCTTCTTTCCCATCCATCCTTCCAGGACACATTCTTTTCTGGTACCTTAGTTTCCCCATACCAGAGTGGGTAGAAGCATACCACTCCCCTTTGAAAAGTGCCTTTCAGCATTGAGTGGGGAGCTGGCTTTCACACAATTACCAAAAGGTTCAGGATTTGGCTTTGGGCTTTTTAAATATGTTTTTTCAGAAGTGATGTGCAGAGCTGGCCCTATATATGGAGAATTAGGTAGACCCTGACATGTGTAGAGTAGGTAAGCTTGGAAGGGTGAGGGACTTCTCCAAACACAAACACTCTTGTATTTTGCCACCTTTATTTCCCCCTTCCCTTATATTTACTTCCAAGTCTTACTCTTTAGCAACTAGGAAACATGTAGCCCTTGTGAAGTAAACCTTTGCATATGTTAACAGATCCAAATACATTCCTGTATTACAAGCCCCACCATGATCTAGCCCTTTCTAACTTTCCCATCTTGTCTCACACCATTCTGGCCCTCTCTTCTCCAGGCAAAGCTTACTGCCTTCCTGGTTTTTTCAACAGCAGAAGTTTCCCTGTCCATGTCTGTGGTCTATTCTGCTCTGTTGGGCCTCCTTCCCCAGGCCCAAGGCCTACTTCTCTCATCACCAGGGTTCCAATTCCACATCAGAGGCCTTGCCTGATCACCTGGCTAAAGTGCCTTTCACCTCCACCTATCTCAGGTATACCCCATCTCATTAGCTTGTTTTATATACAGCATCTAGTGCTTTCTGAACTTCCTTTATTGGAGTAGTTCATGCTTGATGTCTTTCTCAAAATGTAGACTCCCTGAGCGTCGTTCATTCTGTGTGTCCACCATTCTGTCTCCAACGCTAACAGTCATCCCTGCCCAGATATGCATTCAATGTTTGTTGAAGGAATGCAGTTCGGCAAAACAGAGCTTGGGAGAACAGCGTTGCAAGGTAGAGTATCGCTTAGAAAAACAGGTGTTTTTCCCAATACATAATATGGACAACCGCCACTTCACTTTTCCCCTCTCCCTTTATCACAACTTTGATTCATGGAACAATTAACTGAGTATTTTTGATGTATCAGGCAGCCGAGGGGGTAGGGTTTTGATATGCACTTTTTCTGTCGGGATGAATTGAGATACCGACCGAAAGGAACTTTCAGACTGTTTTGTTTCAGCCGTGCTGGGGATGGAACCCACGGCTTCACGCAGCCAAGCAACCGCTCTACAACTGAGCCACAGCCCCAGGCCCAGACTTTTTTCCAAGGGTTCTAAGCCTCCCTTTTCTGAACCATCTTTTCCAAATACGTGCCTTCCTCCAGTTGCCAAATTAACGCTAACTTTAGGAAGGCTAAGTTTCAGGGTCTAACTTCTCTGAAGGTCGAGTTGCGTTTTACCTGGGCTGCCCTGAGGCCGGCTTTTCCAAGCACGCCCCACTAACCTCGAGTTAGCGGGAAGGAAAGCAATATTAGGAAAGACGAAAACAATGGGAACTAAGAAGACCGGAGAGCACAGCACCATCCCAAGGCCTCCCGGACTCCCCTCCGGCAGTTAAAGTCACCTGTCTACCCGTGAGCGCCACTTAGGACCCTCGCCCCCACCTGCAGCTGGGGCGGAGGCCGCGCCGGACCCGCCTACCCCTCCTGGTCCCGCCCCCTCGCGACTGGCAGCTCCAGTACCCTATCAATGCCGTGCCAGCTGCCACTGGTCCCGCCCCCAGGGAGCCCGGCGCGCTGGCCCTGGCCTTCCTCGGGGCCACTCCACCCCCGCCCACCCGCCGGCCGGCCAGGATTGGCCGAGCGCTGCCCTTAACCGACGTGTTATGTAACGTGTTCTAGGGCTTCGCCCCGCCCACTCCCCTGCGGTTATATAACCCAGGCGTCCCAGCTCGGGCTCCGCCCCCGGGCCAATGGGGACCCGCGCACCCGGCCGCCGCGGCCAATCGCGCGCTGAGGGGCGGGGTCCGGTCCCGTGGCGCGCGAGGGGCGCGGCGCGACAGTAGCCCGGCACACGGCGGGCCTCGAGACCGCTCGAGGCTGGCGGGGCCGCGGTGGCGGCGAGCGCTCGGCCCCCGCGCCCCGGAACTTTGCGCCGTGGAGCTGCCCCTCGGCCGGCGGGCTTTCTGGGTGCACGCCGGCTTCCAGCACGGCCCGGGGGGAAAGTGGTTACGGCGAGGACCCGGCAGAGGGCCGCGCAGGGGCTCGAGCTGCTCGTGCCGCTTGTGCCGCTTGTCACCTCGTGTTCTCCCCGGGGCTGGACCTCCGCGAGCGGGGAAGCGCGAACTTCTGTGAAATGCCGAGGAGGAAAGTGCCCCTGAGATGAGCGCGACCGGAGGTGGCGGGCTGTGGTGACTGGTCTTCCTGCAGCGCGGTGGCGGGGACCACGATGGGAGGTCCTTCCCTGCCGCCGACTGCAGAGTGAGAAGCCGGCGGCCGGCCGAGGGCTTTGGCGCGCCATGGACCCCCGTGAAGGCCTGGGAGCGCCCGGCGGCGACGCTCGCGAGTCCAGGGGCGCGGGGCGCGGAGGGACGCGGGGCCCGGGAGGCCGGCGGCAGGGAACGCGCGCCGCGAGCGGCCACAGGTGACGCCCCGCCCGTGCGCACCCCTGCCGTCTGCTGTCCCTCTGGAGCAGGGACTGGGAGGGCAGGACTCGGGCCCTTTTGATCTTGAGTTCTTAACCCCGGGAGAAAGTGCGGGGAGAGATCAGGGCGAAGGGATCTGGGATGCCGCAGACGGTGACTAGAGTACAGCAGAGCTGCAGAGTGTCCGAGAGGTCCCCTGAGGTCGGGCCAGGTGGGAAATAGGAGTGGAGAGTGACGTCTTCTGTCTCTTTGCCCGCAATCCCAGCATCTCGGGAGGTTGAGGCAGGATGGCGAGTTTGAGGCCAGCCCTGGAAACTCAGACCCTGTCTCAGAGAGGACTGGGTATGTGCTCCAGGGCGAAGCGCGCCTGGGTTCAATCCCCAGTGCCAAAAGGAAAAGAAAAAAAAAAAAAAAAGCATAAACACATGAAAGAGTCGCTGTTCACAGTGACCCTGGAAAGTAATTTGTTGTCCCTGCATGTACAACATTGTTATTTCTCATTTTTTTAATATCTATTTTTTTAGTTGTAGTTGGACACAATACCTTTATTTTATTTATTTTTATGTGGTGCTGAGGATCGAGCCCAGGGCCTCGCATGTGCTAGGCGAGCGCTCTACCGCTGAGCCACAACCCCAGCCCCTATTTCTCATTTTTTATCTTCCAGGGAACAAGATCGAAACAGAGTTTCAGAAGAACTTCTAATGGTTGTCCAAGAAATGAAAAAATACTTCCCAGCAGAGAGACGCAGTAAACCAAGCACCCTAGACGCCCTCAACTATGCCCTTCGCTGCGTGCGCAGTGTGCAAGGTAAACCGCTGCGGAGGATGTGCAGGCGCAGGTGCACCTTGGCCGTGAACAGGAGTCTTAGCTTTCTGTGTAAGATGTCTGGAGCACATCTAATACTGATTTCATTAGTGTCTTAACTTTTCAAATTTGAAAGACCAGGAGAACTTATTTGGCTAACAGTTTAGTAGTATTATGCAATACTTTGCTGATCTGTTGCAAGAGAGAATTTAGGATAAGTACATTTTGAAAACTAACTTTTTAAACATTGTCTCCTGTGGAGGTCACATGAGAAAACACATTTGACTAAATACAATTTACCTCTTCCCGTCCTACCCATGCTTTGAAAATGCAGTCATGATATGCTAAGAATTTGCCAAATTAAAAACGAACAATTTTAAACACTTTTTCCTTTTTCTTTCTGACTTTTCTCCTCAGGGGATTTCATACAATCATATTCTCTTCAGCACAAAACTCTGTGCTTCATCTATAACCTGTAGCTTCAGAATGCTGAAGTAATGTTCTCACCATAAAAATTGCCTGTGTCTGAAGCTTTTTTAACTTGTTTTAGTATATTAAATGTATCTTGCTTCTTATGACCTAGAACAGGCGGAGTCATAAAATTCACAATTGTTAAGTTTGCATAATTGTGAGTATTTTAGATATAAGCAGAATGTGACTTGATTTGAGGGAAATGCTCTTAAGGTGTTCTTTTCCTAATAAGCCTGCTTAGTAATACTAAATGTGATTTCCTGAAGATACCATTGTCACTGGACTGTTTATTTCCCTGTGTTTCTTAGCAAACAGTGAATTTTTCCAGATTCACAATCTAAACAGAGCATCTGAGAGGGAAGTGACTGTGTACAGTCTGAAGGAGCTGGCCACTGTTGCTTCTGAACACACTTCTAAGAATACAGTAAGAATTTATGAATGTTCCCACGTCAACCTGGGTGACTTCTCCTAAGAAGCTTCTGTAGTTGTATATTTTTAAAAATATTGAGTGAAAGTTTCAAGAACCACAGTTTGAGGTAAACGGAGGAGAAACTGCTCAAAAGGCATGTGTGGCTTCTCTTGCCAGAGAACATCCAAAAACCGAAGCAGTGTGTTGTGTACTGGGCAGTAGTTTCATTTGTTCACCAGCTGCTTCTATCCCCTTAGCATGCCTGAGTTTTCTTAAATTAAGAGGAAAAATGGAAGCTAATCTAAAATAAGGGCAAGGGTTAAAAAAAGGAGAATAGAAGAAATCAGTGGAGTAGACAAAGGGGAATGAAGTGACGGCACAGGGAAGGGGTAGGGAAAGACAGTGGAATGAAACTGACCTAACTTTCCTAGGTACAAATATGAACATACCACCATCATGTACATCCATAAGACACTAACTTAAAAAAAAAAAAAAATTAGCCAGATGCGGTGGCACACGCCTGTAATACCAACAACTCAGGAGACTGAGGCAGGAGGATGGCAAGTTCAAAGCCAGCCTCAGCAATGGTGAGGCCCTAAGCAACTCAGTGAGACTGTCTCTAAATACAATACAAAAAAGGGCTGGGGATGTAGCCCAGTGGTCAAGTGCTCCTGAGTTCAATCCCCAGTATAGATCAGTAAAGGGGAGGGAAGAGAGGAGGGGAAAGGGGAAGTACTAGGGAATTAATTAGAACAAATTATATTCCAGGTTTTTATAATTATGTCAAAATGAATCCTATAGACTACAAAGAACCAATGAAAAAAGTCATACAGAGAGAACGCTTTTTAAAAAAGAGGAAAAATAATAATGCCGCAGAGTAACTTCCTACTTTTTATTCTCATCTCCAGATTATTAATTTCTATTTGTATCATTCTTAGGTTCAATATCTACTACTTCAGGTTATTACATTGGGTTTTATAGAACAGATGAGTTGAGATGCTCTCATTTTTTGTGAAATTTTGGAAGATAATTATTTTTTTTGTCTTATTGACAGGGAAATAGGCCTCACATTTTGTTGATAGAATGATTACTTAATTTTATATTTAGACTTCAACATACTTGTAACTTAACGATTTTGTAACATTGTAAAATAAGCTCATATAAAAATAATTAAAAAGCTACTTTTTTGTAATAGAGCTTATTTTACCAACTAGTATGTGCATAATACTGTAGCAGGATATGTGAAGCTTTAAAAAAAAAAAGTTTAAGAAAACATTTTCCCTCTAAGATCTTTAAAATAAAGCTAAAGAGGAAAACATGATACTACAAATGGTGGCTGATCATAAACAAATCCTAATTGTGTCTAATGGATAATCAGAGCAGAGGTGCTGGGTGAGGTGTCTTCAGGGATACTTCCTGGGGGAGGCACAGAACTTGCTGAGAAGGCAGTAAATTCCCTGGGTGTGAGGCACAGTTTCTGAAGAAGGACATCAGAAGCTTTTGTGCCACATGTATTTTGAGTCTGTGTAGAAGGAGCCAGTGTATTTTTTGGCATAGAAATCAAACCTTCAGCAGGTGAATTGCAGATTTTGTGATATTTTCTAAGAGGAATGCTGAAAGAAACTATTTTTGGCATTGTCTTGCCTTTTCAGGATTTGTATATGTTTTAGGTTATTGATTATAGTAGAAATCTAGAAGAAACTTTCCTTTCTGGGGGTATTTCCCATAAGTATCATAACATTTGCGTTTGTCTTAAATGGTTTCTCATAGGATACCTTTGTGGCCGTGTTTTCGTTTCTTTCTGGAAGGTTAGTGCACATATCTGAGCAGGCTGCTTTGATCCTGAATTGTAAGAAAGATTTCTTGAAGTCCTCTCACTTTGTTGACCTGCTTGCCCCTCAAGACGTGAGGGTGTTCTACACACACACCGCCCGAGGTCAGCTTCCTTTCTGGAGCAGCTGGACCCAAAGAGGTAATGGGACCAATGTTGGGATGTGTATCATGCCCCAAGATCAGTTTCATTTTTACAAAAATAGTGCAGAAATTAATGCATTACTTAGAATATGTGAACTATATAGTTTGTCTTATTTCTTTTCTTAAAATGTCAAAATATGATGAAACAGCTTTTGGGGGGTGGGGCATGTATCGGGAATTGAACTCGGGGACACTCAACCACTGAGCACATCGCCAGCCTTGTTTTCTTTAGAAACAGGGTCTACACTGAGTTGTCTAGCGCTTTGCTTTTTGCTGAGGCTGGCTTTGAACTTGCAATCCTCTTGTCTCAGCCTCCTGAGCCACTGAGATTACAAGCTGAAACAGCATTTTAAATGTTTCTAATAACACAAAGACCCAAGAAGTTGGTTTTCATTTAGTCAAGTTAGTTTCATAGATTATATATATATATATATATTTTTTTTAACAGATTTTTTTAAAGAGAGAGAGAGAATTTTTTAATATTTATTATTTAGTTTTTGGCGGACACAACATCTTTGTATGTGGTGGTGCTGAGGATCGAACCCGGGCCGCACGCATGCCAGGCGAGCGCGCTACCGCTTGAGCCACATCCCCAGCCCCATAGATTATATATTAAAATATGATTTGATTACCAGCATACTATACAACAGTTTAGTTGCTACAAAACCTGTTTCCTTTAATAAAATTAAATGTTTTTCCTCTATGTTGATTTCATGATTTCCTTATCTAATAGATTTTACTTTAGAGATAAAACTGATAGTTAGCTCCCTTTTCCAGTTTTTCTTGCTTCCTCCTAAAAGTTTATGAATCTCATTACTTTCTTTTTTGAAATGCTTGTCTATCTGAACCGGGGATGTGTAGTCAGTTTTCCTTGTGACATTCAGTCCTGTGTGATCTTTAAATAATTCCTTTATTTTTTAAATCACTCTTTATAATATTTATTTCATTTCTTTGTGAAGTGTCTCGAAGAGCTTACTCTCTGATTCCAAACCCTTTAATTATTAAAAAAAAATTAAATTTTAAAAATTGTGATTAAAAAATGTATAGCAGCTAGGTGTGATGGTTTATGCCTGTAATTCTAGCTGCTTGGGAGGCTGACACAGGTGAGTTAAACACCAGCTTTAGCAACTTGGGCGCTAAGTTACTTAGCAAGACCCTGTCTCTAAATAAAATATTTTTTTAAAAAAAGGGCTGGGGATGTGGTTCAGTGGCTAAGTGTCCCTGGGTTCAAGGTTTAATCCCCAGTACCAAAAAGAAAATAGAAAGAAAAAAAAAAAAAAACCAACAAAACTATAGCATTAAATTTGCCTTCTTAAATCATTTTTAAGTGTATAGACCAGTAATGTGAAGTATATTTGCACTGTGTGAAACAGAACTATTTCATCTTTGTCAGTTAATATATATCTTTTCTGATTTTTTTAATCCAGTTCTTGGCCCAACGAGGAAAGGCCTTGCTTCTTTTTCCAGTTGTCACCTTTCTGCCATTTTTTTTTTAAGTTGGACACTATGCTTTTATTTTATTTTATTTTTATGTGGTGCTGAGGATCGAACTCAGGGCCTTGCACATGCTAGGCGAGTGCTCTACCGCTGAGCCACAGCCTCAGCCCCTCTGCCATCTTTTTTGAATATTTCTTCATAAGCTCTAGAAAACATGCCTAGCAATCTTGCCTCCTAGCTCCATCATTTCTCCATTTTGCATCTTTCAAAAGCATTGATTGCCTTTCTCTTCCTCATTCCTAATACACGTTTTCATCTTTAAATATCCATGTTTGTTTCTTTCCCCTCATTAGTCATTTTTTTCATAAACATCTATTCAGCAGTCACTGTGGACCAGGGACAATTCTAGATGCTGGGTCCAGCTAGGAACAGGACAGACACTCCAGAGTATTCTCTAGCTCCTGCACATTTTCCCTTCAGCACTGACGTGTGGTCCCTGTCCTGTCTTTTCAGCCTGATCATCTTTGTTGATTGAGACACGCTTCTTCCATGTAAAAAACAGTGTCTCCTGCAATTTTTGTCTTTGGTACCTCAAATTGACTTGTGCCATCATGATCTGATGCACATTATATTTCTTCCTGTGAATCTCAAGGATTCAAACTCATACTGAGAACAGTTGCTGAGCCCTACAACTGGATGGGCCCATGTTACCGCCTTCAGAACATAAGAGGACATAGGAAGTGATGTAGCCAGCTGTGGGCAGCCTTTGGTTTTGCATCAGAACATGTTTCTTCTTAAAACTGGTTCTGTATACCTCTCAGAAGGATCTGATTGCTATTTACTGTGAACACACTTCCAGAAACAAGAATTCACACTTGTAGCCTGGGTGTCTAATGCTTCATGGGCTCTGCCCACTGAGATTGCATATTCTGGCTCCCAGGATTCTGGAACTTGAGGTGAACACAGTTGGGTTCAGGAGCCTCGTGCAGTGTGTGATTGGTGAGCAAGTTCACATCACAGCACAGGCTGATCCCCGATTCTCCTATAGTCCTCTCCGTGGAAGCAGAGATCAGCCTGATTCAGTATTTTGGTTCTTTGGGTTGTCACCATTTATGCTACCATCAGTTGTTTTATTTTGTTGGTTTTGTTTTTTAACTTCTCAAAGCTTTCCATGTTTTACTGCAGTGCACAAATGCCCCAAAAATATTTCCAGGGAGTTCTACCAGAGGAAATACAAATAGCAAACATTTGGGTAAAGGTTCAACCCCCTCATTTGACCCTAAGATAAGCAAATTTATTTATAAATTGTAACCTTGTAAGTTAGTAGTCACTAAATTGACACAAACTGTTGGCATGAAGATCATGAGAAAGTATTATTGAGAGAAAGCATTAGTGACACTGTAAATCCGTATAGTCTCTAGAAATTAATTTCAGAATACATGAGATGGCGCTGGGATTGTAGCTCAGTGGTAGAGCACTTGGCTAGCATTTGTGAGGCACTGAGTTCAATCCACAGCCCCACATAAAAATAAATAAATAAAGTAAAGGTATTGTGTCCATCTACAACCAAAAAATATGTATTTTTTTAAAAAGAGTACCTGAGAGTTGTAAAATGAACACATCATTTAACCTAGAACACAACTTTCAGAAACTTATCCAAGGAAAGAATTTAAAGTGAAGGGGAAAAAGTCAAAGAAATGTATATTTCATAGAGCTAAATGCTGAAACTGTTCTAAATTTCCAAGTATTGAGAACTGTCCAGACTATTACCACCAAAATAATGGTGTCAAAGGATGACTGTGGTGGCATTTGAAGTAGCGAATGTGGGCAGGCATGCAGCAATCACTAAGTCAGGTGCCCCCACTTGTCTGCCTGAGGGTTGCTGGGATAATACAAGGCCCTTCAGCCCAGGGAAAAGAGCCCTCTCTCAGTCAAAAGCTCGTCTCTTTTTAAAAATAATCCTCAGTTATTGGCTGGCAATAGTGTGAGACTGCTCATCTGAGGAGTGTGGCCCTTGGGATGAGAAACTGACGCTTTATCTCTGTTTCCAGCATCGCAGTACGAATATGCTCCAGTGAAGCCCTTCTTCTGCAGGATCCGGTAAGTGGACAGGCTGGGGAGGCCAGAATGCACCTGATGCTCTGGTTTGTATTTAGCACTTATTCTGGTTCTTTTATATTCAGCCAGATTCTGTTGTAGATTAAAAAAAAAAAAATAGATGTGGTTGCCATGAGGAATTTGCATTTGTATTAAAAAGAGACATGCTCAGGAATAAACAAGACAGTAATGCAATGGGCAAAGTCAGAAAGCTAACTATCCACCCCAGTGGCATGTGGGGGTCAGTGGGTAGGAAGAACATTTTTTGTTTTTTAAATATTTATTTTTCATTTGTAGTTGGACATAGTACCTTTATTATATTTATTTATTTATTCTTATGTGGTGCTGAGGATCAAACCCAGAGCCTCACACCTGCTAGGTGAGCGCTCCTCCCCTGAGCCACAACTCCAGCCACAGGAAGAACGTTTTGAAATGACCATTATTTAGTGCACTTTTTGGTCTGCTGTTTATCTTTTAGTCACATTTAAAAATTTTTTTCCCTACTCAGCTGTACTTGAATTTTTAAATTTTTTAAGTTTTTTCTCCATCCCCCTCCCCCATGGGGCTAGGGATTGAACCTAGGGACACTCTACCATTGAATACATCCTCAACCCTTTTTATTTTTTATTTTGAGATAGGAGCTCACTAAGTTGCAGAGGCTGGCCTCAAACTTACAATTCTCCTGTCTCAGCCTCCCAAGTCTCTGCTGCACCACTATACCCCATTTAAATAGCTTTAAGAAAGCAAGGTATTTATACTTGTGAGAAGGATTTAAAAAATCCAGAGATGGTGAACTAGAAGAAAATAGACCATAAGATTAATGGTAGTTTATTTCTTACAGAGTTTACTTTCATAATAAAAAGGGAAAATATTTTAAGATGGCATCGTGATTAAAGCTATAACTGCTGTAGATAGTTAGAAACCCATATAATTGGTTAATGATATCACCCATGGATTTGGGGGCCTGCGCTGGTAGGATCTGAATGCAAGAAGGGGTGAGCCTAGGAAGGGCAAGCAGGGAGGCCTATGCTGCTGCCCACCAACAGCCCAGGCCCCCAGGAAATACCCTGTGGGTTCATCAGCTTAATGACTGTGTTTAGGTTCAACTTCTGAGCAGGCATGATTATAGTACTGGGGTCAAAACGCTTGCCCTTGTGTACTTGAGTTCTGTAGTGGGGACCAATAACATGTAAATGTGTGTGTCCCTGGCAGTAAATTCTTTGTAGAGACTAACTCAGCAGAAGGGAGTTCTGGGAAGTGAAGAGATTGCCCTTGTATTTCAGGCTTCCTTGGTCCATTTTCTGTTGCTATTTAGAGTACCTGAGGCTAGAAAATTTATAAAGGAGAAAGGTTTATTTGTGCCCAAGTTCTGAAGTCCAGAGCATGACACCAGCATCTGCTGGGCCTCTGGTAAGGGCCTCATGATGCAGGCAGGCTGGCATGTGCAAAGAGAAGGGGCCAGGGAACCAGATGGCAGATCAACCCACTCTCACTGAAACTGCCCACTCCCACAGGAACGACACCGACCCTTCCTGGGGGTGGTCCCATGACCCTAAACCCCTTGAAGCCCCGCTACCTCTCAGTACCTTGCACTGGCATTTAGCACTTTGGCGGTGACAAGCCATACCCAGACGGTGGCAAGAGTAATCAAGGAACTCTCCTTTTAAGAAGCCTGATTGCAGCCAGAGACCGGAGGAGGTGAGGTAGTGAGCCATACGGGAATGGAGGGCCGAGAAGTGTCTGAGGAAGCTGTTCCTGGCAGAGGGTGCAGCCTGGCACCACCTTGGCAGGGGGCGGGCAGCAGGGAAGCTGCCTGGCTGAGGCCAAGAAAGGACCAAGATGCGGGGAGCAGCTTTTGAATGCAGTAAGTTTTGTTCAGGGTCATCACTTGTTTCAAAAACCTTTTACTTTGGGAGTTTTCTAACATAACAGAAAAGTAGAGAATCAATATGTAATCACCCAACTTAAATAACCTTAACCCGTGACCAGCGTACTATCACCAATTCCTCGGCTCCTCTTCCCCAAGTTATTTTGGAGCGAATCTCAGCTATCGTGTTATTTCCTCAAAGGTTTTTTCAGAATGTTTGTTCCCGTTCATCTTTGTGATGCTCAAATTGCCCATTTCAGCAGTAGGAAACCCTTCAGGGTGGTTCCTGTGCCCTTGAGAGGGTGCCCGTGAGGTCTTCAGTGACCTCCTTTCTTTCAGGCATGTGATGTCCCAGAGTTGCAGTCAGTCATTTCCCTGGGAATCCCCAGTTCCTGTGGGAAGTAGCATGAAAGCTCTGGAGACTGGCTCTGGGTAGTAGGCATGGCTGCTACAGGGTTTTCTCTGCTCCAGGAATTTCAGTGCACAGAGCCAGACAGCTTTGGGTTTTGGAAAGGAAGCATAATTTACATTACCAAGGGTTGTGTTGGCTGCTGTGTTGGCAGTACTGTGAAGGGGCAGAGGCAGGGAGAGTGGTGCAAGGCTGCCTGTCCGTAGTGCCAGGCCAGCATGGCAGTGCACAGCAGCCTTCGTGTGGGATTATCGCCAGGATTTACGAAAGGATTCAATTTGGGGTGTGAGGTGAAAAGGGGGCAAGGATGACAGCAGAGTTTTCATCTGGAGTTACTTACTGAGGTGGAGGAAGTTGTAGGAGAAGCAGCTTCCTGGAGAGAGGCAGGAAGGCAAGTTAAATTTGAGATCTGAGCTGAGACATGAGTCTAGTTCAAGGGAAGTGTCCAGCCCAGAGGTGGGTCCTAGGTCATCAGCATGTCAGTGGCATGAGAACCCTTGGGCTGAGGAGCCTGGGAAGCCCATCGTGGAACGGAGGGAAGAGTAGGAGAGAATCCAGGAACCCCTGTGTGGCCACCTGCTGCAGGGCAGGAGGAGGAGGAGGGGTCCTAGGAACAGGGAAGAGAGGGGAGAGCCAGTGGGGAGTGTGTGTTGGGCTCATGTCTGGCAGCACTGAGACCGGCTTGGGATTAGTGTCAGGACCGGGATGATGTGGAGTAGAGGTGTGGTTAGTACAGTGGAGCGTGGGAGTCGGACCTCGGTCATATGGACTCTTAAGGGATGGTGGCACATCCTAGTGAAAATGTCCCCTGGGCAGCTGGGGTGAAATCTTTGTACTGGTCACTCAGAGCCAGACACCACCCCTATCCCAGATCTTCGTGAGAATCAGGAGGAGGCACATGCTCAGGGCCAGGGCTGGGCAGGGGCTGGATTTCAGACCCGACTTCTCCTTTCCTCCTCAGGCAGCATCTTGAAGGACTAGAGTGCCCGACTGTCCAGCTGAAGCTGTGAGACTAAATTAGTTCTTGGAAAGAAGAAGTGGCAAGGGACAACTGAGAGTTGGCTTTGGGACATGACCACAGAGAACCAGTTCTCTGTTTGGTGGCACTTGAGGTAGACCCATAAGATAGGCCTCCTTATGGCAGAAGTGGAAGAGTCAGCCTGGGCATTTGGGGCACAGAGGTCAGGAGAAAATCATGCAGTGTCTGTTCTGCTTTTATTCTCATGGTGATATAAGCAGTTCTCCATAAAACCTTTTATTCAATGAACAGTGGATGAGTAGTATTGCCTGGATATTGAAATTTCAAACTAACCTTGCCCTGCTATGGAAAACAAGCTGTTTAAACATCTTAGATTTGATCGTGTCTGTCTGGGAATTCCCCATGGGGCCATTCCCAGAGGGCACCAGGGCCAGCACTAACCACCTTCCATCTCTTCAGTGGAGGTGGAGGCAGAGAGCACGAGAAGCATTACTCCCCGTTCCGGATCATCCCCTATTTGGTTCATGTACATAGCTCTACCCAACCAGAATCAGAACCTTGCTGTCTAACGCTGGTTGAGAAGATTCACTCTGGTTATGAAGGTAAGTCAGGAGGACCTGCCTTTAGATGAGATGCAGAAATGCCAGCAATCAGATAGGAACACAGCGAAGCCTGTTCACTGCAGCCCTAGGGCAGAAAGATGCTTTTTTTTAGGAGTTGGGCTCCTGGACTCTGAGCATACTTGTCAACTTTTACTGACCTTGACTTCCGGAGCAGCCATCTTCACTGACAGCCTGGCCTCACAATCTTAGCTTGGGACTTCAGACAGATCCATGGTCCTCCCGTCTCTTCTCTGCTGGTGACCCATTCTGTAGGGCTTTTTGATTCTGTCTGTGTAGAATTTGAGCACTGAAACTGATGCATAGAGAGGCCACAGGAGTGAATGCATTTTTTTTTTTTTTTTTGTTTTGTGAGGGGTTGCTGGGGATTGAATCCAGGGCCTTATACTTGCGGGACAAGCACTCTACCAACTGAGCTATACCCCCAGCCCCTGGAATGTATGTTTTTAAAAAACTGTTTTGAAACTTGAGCAAGCAGAGCCATGTTTCTAAACTCACGTGCCAGTGCTCAGGCAGCTCTGGGTGCTGTGGCAGTCATGCCATTCTGATGTAGCATGCTCGCCTGCACGAACTCACAAACCTGCAGAGCTGTGGTGACAGTAGGGTCAGCCCAAAACTTATTCACACTTGAAAAATAAGACAGGATTCTAATAAAAATAAAAGCTCATTTTACACATTCATGCTTTTTTTTTTTTTTTTTTAATTTTTTTAGTTGTAGATGGACACAATACCTTCATTTTACTTGTTTATTTTTATGTGGTGCCAGGGATCGAGCTCAGTGCCTCATGCATACTGGGCAAGTGCTCTGCCACTGAGCCACAACTCCAGCCCCTTCATGCTTAAGAGATACTAAACACTGCAGTACGCCTGGCAGGCAACACAGGAAGAACCCAGCTAGCAGGATGATGATGGAGTGGTGCATGTTTTAGTGTCTTCAGTGGCTCCAACTTCTGCCTCCATGTTAGGTTTCTTGCAAAAGAAATCGCACCTGAGCAAATGTGGTGCTATAGATGCTCAGATTGTTCCCTAGTGTATCATCTCTTTGTTTTTTAAATCACATGTTGGAGCAAAACTGACAGTAGTGATTTTTTTTTTTTTTAATATTTATTTAGTTAGTTGTAGTTGGACACAATACCTTTATTTGGGCCTCGGATGTGCTAGGTGAGCACTCTACCACTGAGCCATACCCCAGCCCGACAGTACTGATTTTATTATGCAAAGACCGTCCATGTACTAAGTAAATTTCAGATACTTTTGTTGTTGAGTTGTCTGCAACCACTAACTAGCACTAAACTTTTCATTTACTTCTGCTTTAACCACTAGATTATTTGTGATGAAAACAGGCTATTGAGTGGGCACAGAATTTTTCTTCAAAGTTATCCTTAGTGAATGTCACACTTGGTTTGATTAAGATGTAGTTAATGAAAATTCTTATCATTTGTCTGTAGCTTTGGCTGCTGGAAGGCCTGGACCCCAAGGGAGATTTCCACTATTTCATATAGTGATGTTAGTTCCTTTTTTTTTTTTTTTTTTTTTAATTTTATTATTAGTTGTTCAAAACATTACATAGTTCTTGACATATCATATTTCATACATATTTCAAATATGTTAGTTCCTTTTTAATATGTTAAGCAGTAGTTAAGTGGATTTAATTAGCCATTGCCTTTAAATGGGTCTTTCTGTTTTCTCCTAGCTCCTCGAATCCCAGTGGATAAAAGAATTTTTACCACAACACACACCCCAGGGTGTGTGTTTCTTGAAATAGATGAAAGGTAAGAATTTCTTTAAATCTATAAGAAATTTGTTCCTGAAAATGTATTAAATATGAGAAAAAGTTTACATCAGGTTTGCATGCTCTTCTACATTGTGAAACTGCAGTCCATCCCTTTGCCCACAAGATTGTTGTTAGTTAGGTTGGAATTTATTTGTGTTGTCTGATTTTTAACATAAACACTTGATATATTTCTAAAAGTGATTTACAAGAGACCATATTAGATTTCATGATGCTTTAGGTGGCCGGTCAGTCCTTCTTCGCAGAAGCACACAGTGAACCTGGGAGCCAGTTTACCAGTAATACCCATGATGTTGGACACTCAAACTGGTCACTGGCTTCTCTAATCCCAGGCATTCCCAGTGGACAAGTGTTCCTCAAATCAGTTTATGAAGTGGGGGAAAAGTTGTTTTTTTTTTTTTTTTTTAAGAGAATTTATTTAAAGAATTTTTCTTTATTTTGAATTTAAGTCATTCCTTCTTTCTTTGAGGAGGGTGTTTAGATAGTTTTTGTTATTTAAAGAATAGTAATGGTAGATATTAATAATTGTTTATCACTGATTTTCAATATCTTTATTTGGAAGTATTAAAGATTGATATTATATTTGTAACTGCCATTTTCCCTCACATTTAATTTTGAATTTTAATTATTAAAGAAATTTGAAAATCTGGGAATCCATGCTGTTCCACACATAGTGTAAAGTAAAAATGACAAAAACTTGGGCATAATAATGATAAGTATTAATTTTGATTTTTAAAAAGCTTAGCATTTTTTTTTTTAAAGAGAGAGAGAATTTTAATATTTATTTTTTAGTTTTCGGCAGACACAACATCTTTGTTTGTATGTGGTGCTAAGGATCGAACCCGGGCCACACGAATGCCAGGCGAGCGCGCTACCGCTTGAGCCTCATCCCCCACCCCCCCCCCCCCCCCCCCCCCCCCCCCCCCCCCCAAAAAAGCTTAACATTTGAAAATGGGTTTATTAATTATAGTTACCCTGAAACCAAACAGTAATTAATGAAATACTTTGTATAATATATTCTGTGTAAAGTTAGAAAATCGAAGGCTAATTCTGTAAATAGCTTGAATTTATTGCATTAGAAAATGTTTTTGGAAATAGTCATGAAGTCAGCTTTTTCTAGGGCAGTTTTACTCTTATCATAACAGTTTTCCCATGAATGTGTTAAGTGTCCTAAAAGTGTTTCTGTGTCTACTTCATATCATCTTTTGTATTTAAGTATTCTTAAGCATGCTATGTTAATCAGCTTTCTGTTACTGTGACAAAATATTCGAGATAATCAACTTGTAAGGAGGAAAGTTTTATTTGGCTCACAGTTTCAGAAGTTTCAGTCCATGGCTGGTTGGCTTCATTGCCTTTGCATCTGTGGCCAGACAGAACATCCCTGCAGGAGCATGGGGTGGAGCAAAGCTGTGGCCAGGAAGCAGAAAGAGAAAGCGCAAGGGGCCAGGGTCCCCAGTAACCTGACTTCCTTCCACTAGACCCTCCATACTGAAGGTCTCAACATGTGCATGGGCCAGGGGCCAAGCCTTTAATGTGGGCTTTTGGAAACATTCAAGATCTAAATTATAACAACACTGTATAAATTTGTAACCTGCTTTATTCATTTAAAATTATCAGCATCTATGTTATGATTTTTTTTTTTTTTTTTAATGGAAACATAATGGGCATCAGACTCTTTCTGAAGAACTTGCTGGAAACAGATGCCTGGTCTTACCAGGTCTGTTTTCTGGCTCATTCTATGTGTGTTTGTGATGCAGCTTCTCTATTGACACCAACGTTTACTGGACCATTTCCCCTCAGTGCAGCCACTTACTTTGTTGCTTTTATAAATCGTTTCATGAGCTTGGCGCAGCGGCGCGCCCGGCGGGTGGGCTGCTGAGGCGGTGGCCCCAGTGCAAGGGGCGCCCCCCATGTGCGCCCGCCATCCCGGAGGTGGGGGTAGCTTGGTGGCTGCGGTGGACCGAGAGGGCCAGCGCAAGAGCTCACTACCCATATAATGGATTTTATAGTTCAGATTGTTTTATTCTGGATTTCATGGTAACAAAACAGGAAGTATACTTAATTTCTCATTTCTACAAGTAGTCATGACTACTGAGAAAACAATTTTTTTAAACTACAGCAGAATTCATCTTGGTACCTTTTATGGAAATCCTGATTTTGTTTTTGATTTTGATAACCTTTTGCTAAAGGTATGAAGAAGCAACTTATCTTGTTAGGCAAATACACATTTATAAGAATGTCTAGATGAGGATCTATCCTTCACACCCGGACCCACTGGCTACTGTTAGGACTGGCTTTGCTCTGTAGTTTGGTATTATTTATGTACCTTCTGGAGTGTGCCCCTCAGACTGATGGAAATGCATCTCTTCCTGGTGTTGTCGGAGAAAATTATGGTAAAGAGTACTATCAAGCCCTCCTACAGGAGCAAGAAGAACATTATCAAACCAGGGCAACCAGTCTGAAACGCCAAATCGCCCAACTAAAACAAGAATTACAAGAAATGAGTGAGAAGATGAAATCACTACAAGAGAGAAAGAATATAGGGGCTAATGGCATAGGCTATCAAGGCAACAAAGAACAAGCACCTAGCGATCTTTTAGAATTTCTTCATTCCCAGATTGACAAAGCTGAAGTTAGCACAGGAGCCAAACTACCCAGTGAGTATGGGGTGATTCCTTTTGAAAGTGTTACTTTAATGAAAGTATTTTAGTTGGAAATGGGTCTCACTCGACATCTTGAAGAAAAGCCGCTTAGAAAAGACAAATGAGATGAATTGACAGACATTATTGAAGCTGGCTTGGAGGTCATTAATAATCCTGATGAAGATGATGAACAGGAAGATGAGGAGGGTCCCCTGGGATAGAAACTTATATTTAATGAAAATGACTTCATAGAAGGTTATTGTCGCACTGAGAAAGATAAGGGAACACAGTATGAACTCTTTTTTAAGAAAGCAGACCTTATGGAATATAGACATGTGACCCTCTTCTGCCCTTTTGGACCTCTCATGAAAGTGAAGAGTGAGATGATTGACATTACTAGATCAATTATTAATATCATTGTGCCACTTGCTGAAAGAACTGAAGCATTTGCACAGTTTATGCAGAACTTCAGGGATGTTTGTATTCATCAGGACAAGAGGATTCATCTCACAGTGGTGTATTTTGGTAAAGAAGGTCTCTCTAAAGTCAAGTCTATCCTAGAATCTGTCGCAAGATTGGCTTCTTCCACATGGTGAGGGATATGGCTGTTGGCGGCTCTGGGCTCACATCTTCTCAGCTTTGCCATCAGAGAGGAAAGAGCTTTCTCCCAGCTCTCGTTGAGGAAATCCCAGGAAAGGACATTTTGCCCACTCTTGAGCCAATCACATTGGCCAGGTGGGGTGGGGGTTTTGTGATTGACCCCACTTGAGCCCGGTCCCCACTCCTAGGACATTATTGGTTGGGCCGGGTAGAGTGAAGGGTATTCTGTGATCAGTGTTTTACTTGGTACTAGGCATGTGGGGTGGCAATGGATAGTTTCCACAAAAGAAGGGAAAGATTTATATGACATAAGATAAGGAGAAGAATATGGACACCCAGAACACTTAGAGTCCAATCCATGCATTATTTGAGCTTTTACTTCCATCTCTCCATTACCCAAGCTATACTGTTGTAGGAGTAATCTTCCTCACATGTTCCTGTTTTTGATTCAACTGTATCCCTAGTGCAGTGGTTCTCTAGCTTTAGTGTCAGAGGCACCTGGAGGGCTTACTGAAACTCAGAGACTTGGTTCCACCCTTGGCCTCTGAGTCAGTGTCTGAGGTGGAACCTGAAAATTTGCATCTAATATGGTGCTAGGGAGTGCTGGTGCTGTGTGTTTGAGGGCCTCGGGGTGAGAACCACTGTCCTAGCAGAAAACCTTGCTGACTCCCCCCTTGTTTAGGATACTGACCAAGTTCTTTAACTTTGCATGATAGGTGTACCTCAATCTGAGCCTCCTCTCATTGTTCCCATGTTAGGGTCCCTTTGTTCCCATCTGATTTGTCTGACCTCCAAATGCTTTCTTTCTTACCTCTTTCACTTTTGAGAACAATTATTTGGAATGACCTGTACACTTACCAGTGACTTCAGGATTTTAACCCAGGCATAACTCAAGTTCTGCTTCTAATATCTTCTCTAACTACTCCATACATAAGCAATCTCTTCCCAGACCTGCTATTCATTTATTCATTCATTCATTTAGCAAATGCATATTGAACTCCTACTCTGTGAGGAGCACTGTGTGCATGGTAATGAACAAAACAAAATCCCTACTCTCATGGAGTCGGGAAGACACTCACACAAACATGTCTGGTGATACTAAGGAAAACAGCCAGGGAAGAGGATGGAAATTAAAGAGTGGGAGATTGGACTACTTCTGAAATGGTATCTGGAAATATCCCCCTGATAAGGAGGCATTTATGCAGAGACCTAAAAGATATCAGAAAAGCTCTCTTTGTGTGTATCATCTATGCCCAGAATTTATTATTATTATCATCATCATCATCATCAAATATTATGGCTATTTTTCCATGTGTGTATTTCTTATCTCCCCAGTAGGTTTTTAAGATTTTAAGGGTCTGTGGCCACTTGGTAACTGGAAATCTCATACCATACCACCATCATATTTCCTCATATGTGGGAAATTAGTGAATATCTGTCCCTGATGATGGGAAGCTGATGATTTCCTTTCCCTTGTGTGAATATAAAACCAACATAATAAAATATTTGAAGTATAAAAATAAATAAATAAATAAATTGTTTCACGAACATATTTTGCATAAGTTTTTTTCCTATTTAGAACTTAGTAAAGAAGTGTTTTCAGGGACATTTTTGGTGGCTTTGTTGTTGTTGGGTTTTGCTTCTCAGAACTGGGGATGAAACCCAAGGCCTCTCATGCAGGGCAAGCACTCTACCACTGAGCTGCACCCCCAGCTGAGAAGCATTTTTAAAAGTGTGTGAAGTGTACAGTTACTCAATGAGTGTAACCTGCTGCCTTTGTTGTGTCCTCGGTCCAGAGCAGTGCCTTTGCTGGGCTACCTCCCTCAGGATCTGACCGGAACCTCTGTGTTAGCATGCCTGCACCCTGAAGACCGGCCTCTGATGGTCACCATGCACCAGAAAGGTAGGACCTGCTCCTCTGCAGGGGGAGTATTAACCACTGATTCGTCCAACTTTTCACTTCGTTTCTCTTTGGCCAGTAGCCTTTAACTAGATTGGCAACAGGTTGAGACCCTAAAGCAATTGTTCTCTATTTCAACACTTGAAAAAATTGACAGATGAACAACTTGAAAAGAGCACTTGTAATCAGTGTCTCTAAAGTCACTTTTGTCTTCTCATTTCACGTAGTCTTGAAGTATGCAGGCCATCCTCCCTTTGAACACTCACCCATTAGATTCTGTACTCAAAATGGAGATTACGTCATACTGGATTCCAGCTGGTCCAGCTTTGTGAACCCCTGGAGCCGGAAGGTTTCCTTCATCATTGGTCGGCATAAAGTTCGGACGTAAGTCAATCGGCTTTAATATTTTCTAAACATCTTTTTTACTAAATAATATTCTTTAGCCCACTGACTGCCCCTTGAAGCAGTTGGCACCTGAAGTAAATAATGTCAGACTTAGAGTGTCTTAAATGTCCATTGTTAAGTAAACTCTGGAATATTTGCTTGATGTGTTATTATATTGGTCAATAAAAATTTTTGCAGAAATTACCTAACATGATACCTAGAATGTTTGACATGTTAGATGTAAAATGCAGCATACAAAGTTATCTACACCTGTCCTTCTAATTGTGTTTCCGACATACAAACTGAAATAGGGAAAAGAAGATCAGAGGAAATAAAAAATTAATATGGGTTAGGTATGAGTAGAGGAGCTAAGGATTTTTTTCCCTCTATTTGCTCCTTCTATATTTTAAAGATCTCCATAGCGTGTACAACTTCTTATGTCAGCCTTCTGTTGTCAAATTTTACCTTGTAGTATGTTTTTTGTTTCTGTTTTTAATTTCTTATTCTGATTTGTTATATATGACAGAATGTATTACAATTCATATCACACATAGAGCACAATATTTCATATCTCTCGTTGTATACAAATTATATTCACACCATTCGTGTCTTCATGTACTTAAGGTAATGATGTCCATCTTAGTCCACTGTCTTTGGTATCTGTTTTATTAAATCTTGATTTTTAAAAAATCGGATTCTTCACTCTTTCATTTCCTGCCAGCATGACTGACTCCTGTTCCTTGTCCATGCAATGACATCATGTGAATGGATCTGGAGCAACCTGGCTGCCTTTGTCCCTTGAATTTTTTAGTTGACCTGTAGGGTTTTTTGACCTGGCCATCAGTTTCTTTTTGATAGCATAGCTGGAGGTTTTGGGTGGTGGTAGTGGTGGGTGGTGTTTGCTTTTTTAAGGATAGAAAGCATATTTACCTCTGCTTGACATGCTGAAATCAAGAAGTTATGTTTTGTACTTTGGTATACAACTTTGTGTACGTAAGTGTAAAACTAGAATAGCTGGGTGCACGCCTGTAATCCCAGTGGCTTGGGAGGTTGAGGCAGGAGTATTTTAAATTCAACACCAGACTCAGTAACTTAGCAAGGCCCTAGGTAGCTTAGCAAGATCCTGTCTCAAAATAAAAAAATAAAAAAGCGCCCCTGGGCTCAATCCCTGGTACCAAAAAAACCAACCAGACCAAAACAAAAACCTGAGAACAGTAGATCTACCAATAAAATGTATTTTATCAGATTTTTTATATGGCAGTGGAGATGGTTCGTATTCCCTTCATGATGAGAAATGTCTTGAGGTTTCCCTTACTGCTTTGTACTCTAGGGTTTGGCCTCTGCAGAGCAGGTTTAGAACCTCAATGGGAGGAATGGGTTCCTTGCTACTCTGAGATTGATTTGTGTTTAAAAATAATTTAAAAGTTTAAATAGGAAATAGAACTACCAAGTGAGTACTGTTTGTGCCAGTGAGAGGGAGACTTTTCTTCTCTCAGTAGGAAACCTATTGGGAAATGAAAATAAAATCAGGTAACTGCTCAGGGCAAATGTGGCGGAAACCCAGAGCAAATAAAATTTTTTTCCTAAAACATCCATCCAGGGGTTGTTGATGGGTCTGTGTCCCCTGCCCCCAGGCAGTGCCTGAGAGAAATCCTAGATTTTTTAGGTCACCCTTTGAGTTTTTTGATAGAATATGTGTGGAATTACCTGATACATAATCAATCCTCAGACTGTTGTCAGCATTTTTAAAAAATACGCCACTGCTTACATCTCAAGACCCAAGATTATATGATGAAAAGAATGTAGAGTCTACAGGTATTAATTTTTCATAAAATAGAGTTGTTCATCATATTTACAAAACTATTTTCAATGCAGTATTCTTTCAAGTATTTAGGGCTTGCCTGCCCTGGTGAGGCACTGTGCTAGACCCTGAGAGTGAGAAGGTAAACAAAATATTCTCTCGCCTTCATGGAACCCACATGTGTGTAAGGGGAGAGACAGTAAATAAAAATGATGTTGTCAGTCCAGGTGCAGTGGCATGCACACTCTAATACCAGCTGATCAGGAGGCTGAGGCAGGAGGATCACAAGTCAAAGCTAGCCTGGGAAACTTGGTGAGACCCTGTGTCAGGAAAAAAAAAAAAAAAAAAAAAACAAAGGCTCTGCCATACAAGTAGAATTTAAGGAAGTGTGACCATTGAAATGGGCAGGGGGCTGTGTTTAACAAGAGACCCACCCACATCTCTCTGGGCCCTTCCTGGAAGCTCTGTGGGCAGGGAGCTTAGGTCCTGAGACTTCTTATTTTACAGAAAAAACTCATATTCAGCACAATTTTCCTAGAGATTGTAACCAAAAGCTGGGTCCTTGTCCCCATGCCAATTCAATAACTAGGACATGGTTTTAGGAAAAAGAAGTTTTATTGCTTTGCTAGCAAAGGAGGAACACAGGGGACTCCTGTCCCAGAGGCCATGGTTCTCTCCATCAGGAGGAGCGCAGGGATTTTAAAGGAACTCCTCAAGGGTTACATTCCAGGAGTGCTCTGGTAGGGGTCCCAGGTGCCCACCCTGAAGGCATGTTAGGATTCACTTGTTAATTTGGAGATAGATATTCACTTCCTAGATCCTCCACTGGCTTCTTCTTCCTGTAGTGGATGTATTCCAGGACAGTTAACTAGAGGAAGAAAACACTGTCTCCCTAATCTTGTTTAAAAAAAAAAAAAAAATTCTTTAAAAAAAAATAAGCCTCAGGGGCTGGGATTGTGGCTCAGCGGTAGATCACTCAAGCGCTCGCCTAGCATGGGCAGGACCCGGTTCGATCCTCGGCACCACATAAAAATAAAGGCATTGTGTTGTGTCCAACTACACCTAAAAAAAAAAATTTAAAAAAAAAGCCTCAGAGCATATATTCAGATTATATTAAGAATATAATCATATATTCAGATTTTCAAGCTCATAGTGCACAGAAAGATGGAACATGTTTTGAGTCATATAAACTTTTTTTTCTAGATAACTAATCATTTATATTAATTCTTGCAAAAGGTGAAGTGGCCACTGTTGTGAGGTCACTTAGAGAAGAAGCAGAAAGTGGAGAGTGAGGCCTGGCCCGCTTTCTTCTGCTCACTCCCCTGCACACATCCACCTGGTACTGCTCAGCCGCTTGGCCACCACCTGCAAGTTAATCAGCTGGATTGAAAATAGTCTTGTAGAAATTTTCACAACTAAGAATATTTAAATCTCAGAGTATAAAATAGTCTATATTCTGTTTCCATTTCAGAAATTTACCCAAAAAACAAAATCTAAATACATGTGAAAGATTTTCAAGCTCATAGTGCACAGAAAGATGGAACATGTTTTGAGTCAGATGAACTTTTTTTCCAGATTACTAATCATTCATTTTAATTAATTCATTCTTGTAACACATGTTTTGTGGGCGTCTGCTGTGCACCAGAAACTGTTTTTGGTACAGAAGGTACAGGAGTGAAGAAAGACAAAACCCGGCCCCATGGAGCTTACATGGCAGTGGGAACAGACAGGGAACAGACTGGAGAGCAGTTAATTAGGTGAGGTGCAGCCTGTTGGGTTGTGAAGCAGGGCACAGCCTGCCCTGTGCAGTGCACTGTGCTGTGCTGAGAGGTGTTGATGAGTCGCTGTTTATCATCTAGGTGCTACTGGACACAGAGATGACTAGGGCTGTGCATGATGAGTGAATGGTCCCCAAATGTAGATTTATTGCTGACTACTCTTATGACACTGCCGATATCCTATGATTGTCTGATAATGAAAATAATGATTATTTTCAGTGCAGTATTCTTTCAAGTATTTAGGGCTTGCCTGCCCTGGTGAGGCACTGTGCTAGACCCTGAGAGTGAGAAGGTAAACAAAATGCCGATATCCTATGATTGTCTGATAATAATTTCTGCCTTTGTGAGAGTGTTTTAGAGTTTTAGGTAACTAAACTTTATGTACAAGTGGTAAGAAATAGCAGACTGGTGTCCTAGGAAAACAAACACTGGCTCTGAAGTCAGACATGGATTCAGACCCTGGCTTTGCTGCTTCTTGGTTACGTAAATTGGGCATGTTCCCTGGACACTCAATTCCTCCCACTGTATGTGTGCATGCATGGGATGCTGGGAGCAGACCCAGGGCCTCACTCACGCTGGGCAAGCTGAAGCTGTCTGCCTCTGATCTACAGCCCCTGACTCTCATCTCACTTTTAAAAGTCAGGAGTACCTCCTGCTTCATGGGATGCAGTGAATTAGTGTATTTAATTAGGTAGATCTCATTAGTCCTTGCTTTGCTGAGGTCCCAGGAGGTAGAGCCATACACGGTGGCAAAGGCATGGACCTTGGGGCTTAGACTCCAGTCCCCTCACCCATCCTTGCTTGCCCCTTACCAACTAGGTCACCTGGGAAGGTTGTAATTCCAGTGAATAATATTTACACTCGGAATAGTTCCTGGTACATCATAAGTGTTTTGAGATGGTGGTTCTTCTTATTGTATATTATAAAAACTAGTACAATTCTTGTCACAAAGCAGATCCTAAATGTGTTCATTTCGCCTCCTTTTTGTTATCTTTGTTGGCATGTCTGTTGTTCACTATACTCAGTAGTAGATTTTAAATCTGTAGAATTTGAGTATACACGGGCCTGAAAGTAATTTGGTGACAGCCACACCTTCACCATGACTGTGAGTTAGACTCCTGTTAATAGATAGGTTAAGTGATTAGGGGCATCAAACATTAGTTGTTGTTTGGCAAACTTGGGTGTTAAAACTCCTAGAGGAACTTGCTGAGTTAATGTCAAATTTTGAAGCCAGACATTATTGAAGATGTTTTAGAAGCTAAGGAGGCTACTTGTCCAGAGCAGCAAATAAATTATTGCTTTGAACTCCATAGCCTTGGACAGCTTGACTGCATCTGGGAGTCTTTCCATGAGAAGGCGTAGAAAGACACACCCATTTTCAGGCAGCAGCTGTTAATGGGGCCAATTGCATGCCTGGCATGTAATTTTAGATGCCTGCCAGCCTGTACACCTGCTAGCCTGTACGTCTAGTGCACTAGACACCAGTGAGCCTGAACAGCCTAGAGGCGCCAGCTACCTGCAGGAGGGAGACTCACTGTGTAAGTGATAAGGCCCCTACTGTGCCAGTTTCCCTCTTCAAGAACCCTTCCTAAGAATGCATTCTTTTCCCCTATAAAATAAAGGTTGGTGGGCTTTCTCCCTTTGTTAGGCTCAGACCCATCAGGTACTCCTGACTTTTAAAAGTGAGATGAGAGTCAGGGGCTGTAGATCAGAGGCAGACACCTGTCAAGCCCCTGCTTTCATATATTTCTTGTCTCTTTTGTCTTTATTTCTTAATATTATGTTTTCAGCCTTTTATTTCCAGGCAGCCCACACCTCCGTACGGTTACTGATTTCCCTCCCCATGCAGGATGCGGTGGGAGCTACTCGTCACTGATTTTATTTATACATATGGCTGTGATTACAGAAAGATTAGTGCCTCAGAGAAACTTACGAAGCCTGTCAGTGCCTCATTTGTTTCTTGTATTTACTATACCTCTATGAAGAGAATTTTAGCTTCATATTTCCTGTATTTGGAGTCAAGAGTCAAGAGTTGCTTTATAAAAGCACAAACTTATTTTCGAGTAAAATTGTTAAAAATCACTCTGGACTTCATTGTAAATGGATTTAAAATTGCTTGATTCACCCTTTACTTGGCATTTTATAGGAGTCCACTAAATGAGGATGTTTTTGCTACAAGAATAAAAAAGATGAACAGTAATGAAAAAGACATAACAGAATTACAAGAACAAATTCATAAACTTCTGTTGCAGGTAAAGTGAAAGATATTAAAAACCAAACACAAAATTACATAATTGGGTTTCATGTTAGCATTCAATATTAATAAACTCACTTCCTGAACTGTAAGCAAAGAGAAATTTTTACCTCTACATAAATTTTTGTCTTTAGATTAAATTATGCTAACTTTTTTGCTCCTTATTTCATGTGAAATATAGGGAATCCTTTTGGAAAAACGCATTGTAAAACAGCCTACCGAGTCACAGCAGTTGGGCAACAACCTTTCTACCCGAGAGGCACCACCAGCATGTTCAACCTCTCGGTTTTGGCGTATTTTTTTTTTTTTTTTAAATAATCCCAACTTTAAAGGTGAAGGAAAGGGACAGTAAGTTTCAGTATCTGTAGTTATTAGAAGGTAAAAGCAGGAGAAATTGCCTGTTGAAAAGAAATACCAAAGATGGTTTCTACTAGTAAATAAAAGTGAGTGTCACATAGATTAGCCCAGTGGTTTTCAAAATGTCTTTGATAAAATCTCTAGGATTTGTGAAGTGTCTGTGAAGTTCTCCAAAAAATGGTATATATTTAGTTTGTTCTGTTTATACTAAACTCAGCATAAATAAATAGAATTTATTTTCATGTTTTAAAAATTATTTATACTATGCATTTAAAACAATTGCTGTTCCAGAAATATCCACTTAGACTGGGAATCAAGACTTTGCCCTTGATAGTAAGTGACAAAGGAGTGTCTTTCTTATCAGCATCCAGGTTAAAAACATCAGCCCCAAAATATCTAATTTAGGATGGGGGATTTCTGAAGTTAATTTTCTGATGATTTTAGAGAAACTCTCAGGTGCTTAATGCTACCATTTGCCATTTATATAGCCAGAGACTCTGAAATTAGGCTTCTTCTCTCTCAGCCTATTCACATGAGTACTTCCAGTGGCTATGGGAGCCTGGGAAGCAGTGGTTCGCAGGAGCACCAGGTCAGCGTGGACTCTTCCAGCGAGTCGAGTGGGCATTGCATGGAGGAAGTGCAGAAGGAGCCGGTGCGTGCAGATATGTTCCTGTGCAGGCGCTGGGTGGTCTGTCAGTACTGGGCCTGCACTTGATGACATCTTCACCCTCAATTGATAAGAGACATTTCAATCCATTTTGATTTGAAAACCTGTGAAAAAAACCAAAAAAACCAACTTTGGAAGATGATATTTGGATTAATTGTATGCTTTCTAAAAATTAGCATGCTGTAAACTGATGCATTTAAAGTCACATTGGCACCATGTACCATGGCCCATGGGCAGTTGAGTTCAAGCCATGGCTTTTCTTGTTGTGTCTTCAGAGAACCAGAAGTGAACAGTGTTTTGTTTATGTATATTTTCATGTACATATTTATAATATTTGAAACCTGTCTTATCATTCTTTTCCTAAGATGACCTTGAAGCAGGTCTACGCCAGTGTGAACAAAATTAAGAATCTGGGTCAGCAGCTCTACATCGACTCAATGGCCAGGTCGTCAGTCAAGCCAGTGATGGGGACATGCCCAGAGCCCTCTGGTGGTGGTGAGTCAGAGTTCCTGAGGCCTCCCCGAGGGACTGAGCTCTCCTGCAGAGTGTTGCACGGGAGCCTGGAGTATGAAGCCCTGAGCCATGTGGCTGCTTTTCAGCTTTCTTAATTTGCCCAAATGACATTAGTAAAACAGCAATAATGGTGGCAACAGATACTATTCTGAAAGCTAAATGGTATTAAAATGTGGCTCTGATGTATTTTTATTGAAGAATTAACTTTTATGATAATACCTGCAAATTCAAGATTTTCCTATTTCCCTGTAAACCAAGAGTTGATTTTTGAATGAAAAACATTGTTTTTTTTCCTTAATACATGCTTACTTTTCTGAAGCATGAGGTAAGGACTACTTCAAAAGAATTGATCAATTGTATTAGTGGCATTATTTTGAAAAGTTAACCTAGTTACATTATATAGCAGAGGAAAGTACTCTGATATAGAAATCACGTCAGATTGACTTTTTTAACTTAGCTAACTTTCCCTTCATTTTTTTCCCTGAATGTTAATGTAATTTTGGCAGTCATGATAGATTTTAGTCACCTCAGTGGTATAAATGGTCTCTATCATTGTCAGCTGTAGGCATTTTACATGGTGGGGGTGATACTCAGTCTTCCTAAAGCCAGTAATGAATGACAGTCCAATAGCTGTTTCTCAGGACCTGACAGCATGTATGCCATAAAAAAATCGCAGTGCTCTTCCTCATGTAAAGTCACGGTAGCCTGCCTTAGTTGTTTTGTGCTGCTGTGTCAGGATCTGAGACTGTGTTGGAGGTCAGGAAGGCTAGGAGCAAGGCGTGGCAAGCTCAGAGTCTAGTAAGAGCCCTGTCTCTGCTTTCAAGATGGATCCTTGAAGCCGCGTGCAGTGGCACACACCTGTAATCCCAGTGGCTCAGGAGGCTGAGACAGGAGGATCACAAGTTCAAAGCCAGCCTCAGCAACTCAGTGAGGTGCTGAGCAACTCAGATTCTGTATCTAAATAAAATACAAAATAGGGCTGGGGATGAGAGTCAGTGGTCAAGTGCCCTGAGTTCAATCCCAGGTACCAAGAAAAAAAGAAAAAGATGGGTTCTGGAGTGCTGAGTTCTTCAGAGGGAGGAGCACTGTATTCTACAGGGACTAAACTGGCTCCCTCCAGCAGATCTCACAGCATTGCCCAGGTGGCCTCAAACTCCCAGGCTCAATGATTGTCCTGCCTGAGCCTCCCAAGTTCTGGGACTCTAGGAGCAGAGCACACCGCGTCTAGCCCCTGTGTAGTCATTAATGACAGTCCTAGAACCCTCGTGATTTAATTGCACCAAAGCCCCACCTCTGATAGTACCACATTGGGGTTTGAATGCCAACCTACAAATCCCGAAGGGTCACTTGCCTTCAGACCATGAAGAGCTCACAGGGTTCTCCCCAGACCTAACAAGGCCTGCCTGTCAGTTTCCCTTCTCACCTTGGCGGAAAGCATAAGAAATGAATAGCAACTTTTTTTTTTTTTTTTTTGTCTTTAGAAAGCACCAGATTCCCTTTCACACTCCTATTTAAGATAAACCAGGATTTAAACTTAAGAAGAAGAAAAAAGAATTTATCTTAAGTTTCATTCTTGCTATATATCATTTCAGGTCTTTAAGACCTTTGGGGACGTCTTAAAGTTAACATTTCTAAACGTTTTCTTCATTGTCTGGTCCAGTCTGTCCTGCTCCCTGCTGCCTTGACCTAGGATCTCATTATTAGTGTCACAGTTTTGTATCCTGACTTCTGTATTTCATCTCATTTCCAAGCAGCTTCCTGTCTCACCTCCCGCACTGTCCAGTTTCTTATTACTGTATTGGTCTGGTGACCCCATCAGAACTCTCAAACACTGTAGACAGGCAGACCACAGCTTTTCATCATTTACATGCCGTCACATAAGTGACAGGCAGTCTCTCTGCTCACCTGCCGCTTTGGAAACAAATGTTCCTGCTCTTAGACATTTCACTGACAGCACATGCAGATGTGACTATGGGGGAGGGCGACCTGTCCCCATTTGGTGTAGCTTTGGAGAACAAATGCCTTTTAAGGATCCTGGCTTTTATTAACATTCTAAGATCCACTGGTTTAAAGAGCTGTAAAAACCTTTCATGGGGCTGGTGTTGTGGCTCAGCAGTAGAGTACTTGCCTAGCACGTGTGAGGCCCTGAGTTCGATCCTCAGCACCACATACAAATAAAGATGTTGTGTCCGCAGAAAACCAAAAAATAAATATTAAAAAAAAATTCTCTCTTTAAAACAACAACAAAAAAAAAAAAAAAAACAAAAACCTTTCATTGCTGTTTATTTGAGAGATACCAGGATGTGATTCAAGAATGTTGCAATTTAAATGTTAGAACTTGAATAGAGGACTACACCAACAAGAAGGAAGGTGTGCAGTGACCCTGGTACATGTTCTCTATAGTGTGCCAGAACCAAAAAGAACTCAAGTTTTGAGTTTATACTTTTATGTTTCTTACAAGGGCAAATAATGCTTTAAAATAGAATGAGAAATGAGATTTTAAAAGTCCAAATGGGGGAGGGGGGCAACTTTGTCAGCCACGCAAACAGATGTCAACTGCCAGAGGCCTGATTGGTTCTGCGTGTCTGACTTGGAGCAGTGCCTGAGTGAGAGCAGGAGGCCCACAGGTGAAGCTGCCTAGGAGGGGCTTCCAGGCTCTGCTCAGGGTTGTGGGAACAGATTCAGCACTCCAAACTCACTATGGAAGACAGACAGCAAGTTCATGACCTTTCTTGACCCCATCAGAGTGCTGGTGTGCCAAGGTTACAGGACAGTCAGCATACCTAAAATCTAAGGCGAGACTTGTGCTTTCAGGGAGGAGTGAGGTGCAGGTGCTAGATTGGGTGCACTGGCTTCCAGCAGCTTGCTGGAGGTGGACCTTCCTGAGGCATGAGCAAAGGGAAGACCAAAAGCTGGAAGTGGAACACATGTAGAAAAGACAAAGCAAAGCAAAAACCTTGCAAACCAGCTGTCCCTGGAAGCATAAAGTGTAGTTAGCATGATCTGAATATGGATTTATATCCATAAAACCATAACAACAACAAACACGAATCTAGTCTAAAATTTAATAGGGTTAATTCAGAGATAGGACTTTCAGAAGGAAAGGCCCAGTCTATACTGTCCTATACAGGTACTCAGTGTTCAGCAAAAACGTATGAAGCTGTTGAAAAGCAAGAATTAAAAAATCCTCCCAAGAGATAAAGCAGTCACCAGAACAAGGCTCAGCCTGTGGCTCTGAAGTGTACCTGACAGGTCATAAAATAATCCCAGCACTAACCCAAGGCTGGAGGCCACAGGGGCCAGTGTGCAAGCCCAGCATCAGGGTGGGACGGACATCAGGACCACCTGAGACACTGCACACCCTAGTGCCTGTTTTCCTACTGGCTTGTCCCGCAACTTAAAAAATATCAAGTAAAGTGGCTGAGTTAAAAGGGAATGAAGTTAAGTTTTGCATACTTTGGGGAAGAGTGCCAGAGATGAAGAAGGCCTTTCACCCGCACATCAGGGGAAGAATCAATAAACTCCAAGACAGCTGACTTCAGAAGTTACTTAAACTGACACAGAAACAGAAAACAGCATCCTAAGGATCTGGGAACAATGTCAAACTAACATATGTTCAGTTGGAATTTCAGAAGAAAAAATGGTCAAGAATTTTCCATGGATACAAAATATACTAAGTAAGATAAAATTTAAAAAAAAATTAACCTGGGCATTTTATAGTGAGACTGCTAAGAATAAAACTAAAGAGTACGTATTGAAAATAGCCAGAATAAAAAGAATGAAAATCACATATAGACCCAAAGAAAAGAATCACAGTAGACATTCCTCCAGAAACCAAGCACACTAGAAAGACAATAGAGTGACATCTTCAAAGGAAAAAGCTGCCCACACAGAATTCCATATGGAGTGAAAAATCTCTTCCAGCTATGAAAGCAACATAATGATCTTCTCAAACAATAATTGTAGGAATTTATGTGCTAGCAGACTCATTCTGTAGGAAATGCTAAAGGAATTTCTTAAGGTAGAAGGAATAGGATACAAGACCCCCACCCCAAAACATACAACAACAAACTTGGGTCTACACCAAGAAGTGAAGGGCACTGAAAACAGAATAAAAGAAGACAAACTTTATTTTTAATTGCACTAAAAGATAACTGACTAAAGCAAAAATCATTCTGCACTTACAGCATATATAAAAGTGACATATATGACAGTAATACCACAAAGATGGGGAGGGTTAGGACAACACTGTTGCAGGATTTGTATACCTGAAATAGTATTGTTTGAAGATAGATATTGGGTATTTAAGGATTGATATATTAGAAACTTTGTGATAACAATTTAAAATATTTTTAAGCAAATATAAATAATAAGTCAGGGGCTGGGGTTGTGGCTCAGTGATAGAGTGCTCGCCTAGTACATGCGAGGCCCTAAGTTCAATCCTCAGCACCACATAAAAATAAGTAAAGATATTGTGTCCAACTACAACTAAAAAATGTATATGAAAAAAATAAATCAATAGAAGAAATAAAATGAAATTTAAGAAACAACCCAAAATGAGGGGCTAGGGTGGTGGCTCAGCGGTAGAGTGCTCGCCTCGTACGTATGAGACCCTGGGTTCGATCCTCAGCACCACATACAAAAGTAAACAAGTGAAATAAAGTTGTGTCCAACTACAACTAAAAAACAAAAAAAGAAACAACCTAAAAAAAAAAAAAAAAAAAGGAGGAAAGAAACAAAACCCAGCAGAATACATAGAAAACATGAGCAAGATGGTACACTTTAACCCAACAACTTCAGTAGTCACATTCAATATGATCTCAGAATACCAGTTAAAAGTCCTATCAGGTAAAAGGATCTTGTTGCATGTTACCTGTTGGAACGCACTTGAAAGCTGGGTGCAGTGATGCGTGCCTGTAATCTGGGCAACTCTGGAGGCTGAGGCAGTAGGATCACAAGTCTGAGTCCAGGCTGGGCAACTTACTGAGACCTTGTCTCAAAATAGAAAGGCCTGGGAATGTGGCTCAGTGGTAGAGCATCCCTAAGAAAGAACCCATGTTGAAAATAAAAATATAAGGTAAAAACAAAAGGTTAGAAAAGACGTCATGCTAATGTAAAAAAGAAAAACAGTTTGGAAAGCTACATAAATATCATACAAAGTAAAGGTGGGAGAAAAATTTTTTTTCCAGGGTTACAGAAAGAGATTGCATGACGATAAAAGGTTTATTGTCCAAGAATGCGGAATAGTCCATACGCACATGTTTACACACCTAATGAGAGAACTGCAAGACACATGAAGCAAAACCAGTGATAGCTGGGGGCTTGAACACCCTGCTCTGAGATAGAGGAGGAAGACAGAAAACAGGTGAAGACGGAAAGGATCTGAGTGACACCTCAGGACTGAACTAATTCACTGTGCAGCAGCAACATAAATCGTTTATTTTTCTCAAGGATATGTGGAACATTCATCAAGATAAACCATATTCTGGGTCCCAATAAAAACTTAACAATTTTTAAAAAACAGAAATTGGGCTGGGGTGGTGGCTCAGCAGTAGAGCGCTCACCTAGCAAGGCCCTGGGTTCAATCCTCAGCACCACATAAAAATAAATAAAATAAAGGTATTGGGTCCAACTACAACTTTTAAAAAATTTAAAAAAAAACCCAGAAATAATCCTAAGTATGTTCTCTGACCATCATGGATTAAACTAGAAATCAGTAATGAAGATACCTAGAAAATCCCCCAAAAGTTAGAAATTAAGTAATAGACTTCTCACTGACCCAAAGACAACATAAAATATGTGGGATCTACTTAAACCAATGCTTAATGGATATTTACAGCATTAAATGTTTATATGGAGAAAAGAAGAATGATCTCAACTCAGTAACCAACCTTCTCCTTAAGAAATGAGAAAAAGAACAAATTAAATCCGAAATAAGAAAGAAGGAAAGAAATAAAGACCATCTAGATATCAGTGGAATTGGAAACAGAAAAAGAGAAAAAAAAAAAAGCAAATGAAAGTAGTAAATTTTTAGCTTAAAGAATGAAAGAAGGGAAGTCCATACACATTGGGTTTTATCAGAATTGAGAACTCATTTTTTGAAAGATACTGATAAGAAAATGAAGAGATAAAATATTTTCAAATTATATATACAATATAGGACTAGTATCTGGAATACATAAATAACTCTTAAAACTCAACAACAATAAAAAGATGAACAACAATTTAAAAATAGTAAAGAGCCAAGCGAGATGGTCCACGCCTGTAAATCCAGTGGCTCAGGAGGCTGAGGCAGGAAAACTGCAAGTTCAAAGCCAGCCTCAGCAACTTAGGCCTAAAGCAACTTAGCAAAACCCTGTCTCAAAAAATAAAACGGGCAGAGGATGTCTCCGTGATTAAGTGCCCATTGGTTCAATTCCCAGTACCCCCACCATCACCAAAAAAAAAAATAGTCAAGAGATCTGAACAGTTTTCCAAAACACATAGACAGCAAATTGCATATGAAGAATTCACAGCCTCATTAGTCATTAGACAAAAAGAAAATAAAACTATGTGAGCTCCTACCACAAACCTATTAGAATGGATCAATTAAATTGAGAAAATCTGACAGTGTTAAGTGTTGGCAAGGATGCAGAATAATCAGAACACATATGACTGGGCAAAATGCAAAATTATACAGCCACTTGGAAGAAGTTTGACACTTTTCTATGAAATTAAGCATGTTCTTACCATATAACCTGGCAATTCCATTTTAATTCTTGACCCAAATGAAGTAACCTAAGTTCACACAAAAAACCTGTACAGGGATATTTACCACACTGGACGCAACCCACTTGTCATTCAATAAATGAATGAATGACTAGTACATCCACATGATGGAATATTCTGCAGTGAAGAGGAATGGACCTGATGTAGGCAGAAGTGTAGATGAATCCTGACTACATTTTGCTGAGTAAAAGAAGGCAGAGCCAAAAGGTTATATATTGTGCAGTTCTTTTCTGGAATGCTCTAGTTATTTGCATAGGGAGTATGTTCCAAGACTCCTGGTGGATGTCGGAAACCACTGATTGGTACTGACCCCATGTAGTATACACTATGTTTTCCCCATATGTGCGTACACATAAGTTTAATTTATAAATTGGGCAGAGTAAGAGATTAACAACAATAATTAAATATGTATAATATGTTAGAATAAAAATTATATGAATGTCCTTTCTTGTGATGATGTGCGATGATAGTGTCTAAGTGAGCAGATGAAGTGAGGTGAATGACATAGGCATTGTGACATAGTGTCAGTCTACTACTTACCTTCCCAATAGAACTCAGAAAGAGGATCATCTGCTTCTGGTGTCCTGGATCTCTGAGCCCTGACGATGTCAAATGGGTAGCATATTCAGTGTGGATACACCAGACAAAGTTGTAAATCACGTCCCAGGTGGAATGGAGCATCACGATCCTCAGAATAGTGCACAAGTCACTGCTTGAGAATCATTTATTTCTGGAACTTTCTCAGTTCCTGGAAACTGCGGTTGACTTTGGGAACTGAGATCACAGAAATTGAGACTGCAGATGAGGGCGGATACGTACTAAGGTTGGGTGGGGAAGGATTTAGCTCCAAAGGGGCAGCTAGGAGAGTTCTAAATGATAGGAGTATTCTGTTGGTTACTGTGGCAACTGAGGCACGGCTCCATATCAGTTGGTGAAGACCCATTGAGGCCCCACCCCAGAATGTAGGGAGAACCTAACCTGGTAGGCCAGCTGTGACAAACGAATCGGTGTTTCAATTGAATGGTGTAAGCATGCAGAAGGAGATAGGGAAGAAAGGAGCTGGGTAGCTTTTGAAAACAACATTTTCAGTGGATACTCTAGAGAGCTAAACACAAAATGCTGACATGCACCAACACTGGACTTCAGATGGTTTATTTCTTTCTCATTAGAGCAATTCTTTTTTGGAGGGAGAGGTATTGGGGATTGAACTCATTCACCACTGAGCCACATCCTCATCCCTATTTATATTTTTTTACTTTGAGAAAGGGCCTCACTAAGTGCTTTAGGGTCTCGCTAAGTTGCTGAGGCTGGCTTTGGACTTGAAATCCTCTTGCCTCAGTATCCTGAGCTGCTAGGATTATAGGTGTGTGCCACTGTGCTTGGCTACCAGTGCAATTCTGAAGCTGATTTATATGTAAACTGGGGTTGAACAAATTGATGAATGTGATACAAATAAGGATAACGATACTCCTCACTATCATAGAAGTTTCAGATAATTGGAAAAGGAGTGCTAGAATGAACTCTGTGATCATGTTGGCTTAGAGATAAAGACATTAGGAGGAACTTGGGCATTTTTGTCTAATGGATGGATGGACATACATACAGATGGACAGACAAGGGTCGGTATACGAACATACTTACCAGTTCTGATTGTCGAGGATCCACAAGCAAGGACACATGTGGCCAGATCTTGGTTTCCAATGTTTTTCTAACAAAAAGAACCAAGGCCAGAAAGTAAGGAAATGTTCAAAATAAAATAGAGGGATGTGTCAGAAGGTCACAGAAGACAATTTGAAAGAGCTGCCAGTTTGGCCCAAACTGTAATAATTGGAGCAAAAGATACATAATGATAGTGTCGGATCCTAATCCAACAAACAAAATAGAAGCCAAGAGTCTATAGTGATCAACGACTGGATGAATAAATGAAGACTAAAGAACTGTCACAGAATGCAGTAGATGGAGAGGTGACCATGACATTAAGTGTGAAGACCTAAACAGAAAAATTAAACTTATCAGTGTAAACTGGTAAAAATGCAGATGAACTCTGTATGACAGTTGACCACTGTTTCATTGTGCCTTCTGTGTTTTGGTCATTTGATGATGGTGTACCTAAGGTAGGACAGTTAGTGGAAGCTGGGTCAGAGGTATGTGGGAACTCTGTACTGGTTTTGCAGCTCTGAAGTCTAAAATTTCAAAGTTAAAAAGAAGAAGTTACACAGGTGGTTATTTTTCCAGAATGGCGCTGAGGACAGGGAAGCTCTCCAGGCCAGTGAACATGGCCTTTGCTAGTGGAAGCAGCATTGACATGGCCTCCCTGCAGACAGTGTCTGACACAGGCTGTCCGCTCCTCTTGGAACCCACTCCCGTTCTTGGTTCCCATGACCCCCTGCTGGGCAGGTGTCCCCTCTCTCTGGCTGTTTCTCAGTCACCTTTCTGGCTCATTCCCCTCTACAGCAAGTTGAAGTTCCTAGAGCTCAGGCCTGGGGCCTCTTTTCTCTCTACACCTGCGCTATGCCGCATGGTAGCCACCAGCCACATCGGATAAATACAATGAAAATTTGGTTTCCATCAGTTGCTCTAGCCATATTTCAGGTGACAGTTTGGTGACTCGCATATTGGGCACACGGACAAGAGTCTACTCGTCATTGCAGAGGCTCTGTTGGACATGGGTCCACAGGCAGCACTGTGTACTTCACACTGCAGCCCATGAGAAACGCAGTGATCAGCCGTCCCCCTCAGCCCTGCCACGACCAGCAGCCGTGCCTGTGTGCAGTGGCCTGCCCTCGCAGGGCAGCGTCTGACCCGCGGCACAGTGTTGTCAGCTTGGCATCGCGCAGCTCGCATCAGCCTTTCACCTCCCAGTTCATTGATAATTCTTGTCTGAAACATGTTTCACTCCTCATTTTTAAAAATAGCAATATTATCATTCTGTTGTAATGTGCTGTGCACCTTATTGTATTCGCATTGTTATGTAGCATGAATATCTTTTTGTCAGGGCGTTAAGATCTGAGCTCATTTTAATAGCTGCATAGTATTATAGGTGCATAATAATGTATGTCATAAAAGTACTATGATTTAATTTTGCTGATTTTCTTAACTGCATGCTCAGTATTTTATCTGCACATACATTCTTTCATTCTTTTCCAGATGAACAGAAGACCTCTTCTTCCTCCCCGACACTGAAAAATAAATGCATGTGCACTGAGTTTTGTGAGGATTTGAGGAAAGACCAGCACAGCTCATCATATCAACAGATGAACTGTATTGACAGTGTCATCAGGTGGGAGACACACGCTCTAATGGCACGTTGGCTTTTTCCAAATACATATGTTGTCCCTGCGGAATCCTTGTTAGATTTCTGACAGCTGTCCTGTCTTGATTTCATATTAGAAATTAGTAGATATTTATGGGGTGCTTACTGCACGCAGTCCACAGTACACTGAATATCACAGAGTATGCAATTAGATGACGTCCCTCCCCTGAAGGAGCATGGGGCAGCTGGAAGACGAGACCTGAGCTTCTCAGAGTTGGGTGGGTTAGGATGTGGAGTCAGTCCAAGTCCATGGTAGATGAGCAGTCCCAACCCAGCGGTCCAGGCCAGGGCACATAGGGAGACTCCAAAGAGGAAAGGACAAAGTATCCCAAATAAGTGGCACAGGAGAAGCAGAAGTGGGAAGGCTCAGCAAGGGGACAGGCAGAAGCTGTGGCCTGCTCCTGTTGTTGCAGGTACCTAAAGAGCTACCAAATCCCAGCTCTGAAAAGAAAGTGTGTGTCCTCCACAAACACCATGGCTTCGTCATCAGAAGAGGAGAAGCCGAGCCACCAGGCAGACGACACCCAAGCAGTGCAAGGTGACGGGGCTTCCGTGTCTGCACTGAGGGAGCCGTCCCGAGCTGTCTGTCGCGTCTCTGCCTTCTTGCCTTTCGCTCTTTCACTGTAATCATGAGACCCTAATTTCAGGTCTCTTCTTTATGGCCAGGAGGCTTTAATTCGTCAGTTACCAACTTTGTAAGCTGTTTGTCTTTAGCATAAGCTTCCCACTGGGAGTCTTCCTTTCACTGTTGGTTTCTCGTGTCTCACCAGCTGTGGCACAGACCCCTGCCATGCCTCAGCCGAAAGTGCCCACAAATGGACGGCCCACCGAGGCTGAAGCAGACCCGGCCGGAACCCTGTCCACTGCCACACTGAGCCTGGGGTCAGGCACCAGCCAGTGCAGCTACAGCAGCACCATCGTCCATGTCCCACCCCCAGAGCCAGGTGCCACCTTTACCTTCACTGAGTCATTGATACTATTTGCTTAATTCTAACTTTAGAATTAGGAATAGTTGCCCTTCTTTAATTCAGTCAAGGTAGTTTGAAGTGTCACCATAAAATTGTTTGGGTGACACATCTCAGGCTGTGTTTCCTAGCTGGCACTGATGGGCACTGTCCGTGTGTTTACCCTCAGCCTCCTTGGCATTCGCTGTTGGCGCAGCATCATTCCATTGACTTTCAGAGAAGGTGTCCATTTCCCACCTTGGAACATGTCCTACGGGGTCTGTCATGGGTACATGCACATCTGTGTTGATGGAGAAGTTAGGAGTAGAACAGATTGAAAACTTTCCTTAACAACATGATTATATGGTGGATTATTCTGATCTTGTTCTTTCTCTTCTGTTCCCTCCTGTTCTCTTGACCTTTTGATAGCTCATAAAGACTTAGTAGATGACATGGGGACAGGTCTGTCACACTGGGTTTTCAGGTACCTTAATTTGTCCTTGCTGGTCATCATGGAGGCTCGCCAGCCCATGCTGAGCTGCTCCTGTGCCTTTTCTTCTTGGTCTTGGATGCATCTTGCCCTTTGGGTTCTCTCAGCAGCCCGTCAGCTGGAGCGTGGTGGGCAGAGAGCTGTCGTTGGTGGAGAAGGGAGATTGGATTATTTGCTGCTTAGCCAAAGATAAGTGTTTTCCTAGAGCTGAGGCAGGCCCCCAGGACAGGAGCAGGGGCACATTTTTAGTGCATCTTTTCATCCTACTTTGGGATCCTACAGGGTGTTTAATTTCCCACCACCAGGCCCATGCAAGGTGGGGAGGGTTTCAACCAATAAGAACCTTTTTATTTATTTATTATTTTTTTTTTTTTACCGTATCACTGTGCTTTTGGTACTCTGGTCTTCCGTTACCATTTTGAAAGCATTCATACTAAAATCCATCTGCTTTCATTTAAAGAAATATTTACAGATGATAGTTTTTTTTCCTGATCTTAAACCAGTCTCAGTGACTGCAAGGCCACATCTCTGTTCCAAGGTGAGCAAGCAGAGTCAGCTCATGTGTTTTAAATTGTGGTGGTCATACGCTGACCCTAGTAATGTGCTGGGTCTGAAGACCGTGATCACAGGAGCATTTCCTTGTCGTTGCATGTGTGGAACAACCCAGGTATAACTGGTGAAGCAGGCCAGCTAGCCCAGAGGCCTGTGGCCTGTGAGTGGCAAAGTGAGAAAGTGTTTCCCAAGAGCCATTCCCACCATAGGACCTGTAGCAGGGACCAATTAAGACGGAATGTGAAATAGAGATGACTAAAAAATCACTCCATGTGTTTGTTTCTAGTATTGGGGATTGAACCCCAGGGCGTTGTACCACTGAGCTACATCCCAGCATTTTTTTGTAGCTGGGATTACAGGCATGTGCCACTGTGCCTGGGTGCCAATCCATAAATTGAAATAAAACTTTCAAAATGCTCATATCCAAAAGAAGGGCTGGGCAAGAAAAATAAAGTAATGAAAACAGGAAAAAAAAATCAAATACATAATAAAGTAATAGCTTTAAATCTGATTATGATCAAAATGACTTAATGGACTAAATGCCACAAGAAAGAGGCAAAGATTGTCAGAACAGATACAGAGATCAGCAGCCAACCATATCCCGCCCAGTGCTGTCATCAGTCTGCAGTTGAAACAAACTCACAAGTACACGGGGAATGAAGGAATGGGAAAGACGATGCCATTGGGCAGTAGGTGGAGGAGGCCTGCGGTGCTTGCACAGGGCAGGACTGGCGCCCTGTGGTGATGCCACAGCCAGGAACGTTCACTAAGTCAAGAGCTTCTGAAGATAGGCAGTAGAGAAACGCCTCCGTGGTCAGAGTGAGAACCTGAGCAAAGAGGTGAGCTGAACAACATGCCCGCCACCTCGCCCTAGCTGATCTGCCGAGAACCTGGTGCCCACTGACCACGTAATGTACATGTAAGGACAGGGTGCTCACGGGCCTGTAGAGCAAGTGGGGCTGAGATGTAAGTCTCAAATGTGAAAGGGTCCATGAAATATATACTGTGCTTCCTGGGGGAGGGTGAATTAAATCAAAAATCACTAATAAGATATGGAAACCTGAAAGTTTGGAAATTAAAGAGCACATTTCTACATAATCCTTGATTCAAAGATGAAATTACAAGGAAATTAGAAAATAGTTCAAAATCCACAATAATGGAAGTATATATAGCACATCAAAACCTGTGCAATACAGCTACAGAAGAACTTATATAAGACTAGGAGCTTTGGGGGGCTGGGGTTCTGGCTCAGTGGTAGAGCACTTGCCTGGCATGTGTGAGGCCCTGGTTCCATCCCCAGCACCACATATAAATAAATAAAATTAAAAGATCCATTTACAATTAAAAAATATTTTTAAAAAAAGATTAGTAGCTTTAATTGTTAATACTACAGAAGAAAGATCTCAAATCAGTGATCCAAAGTTCCATTTTACTAAAAAAAAGAGCCGAGTAAACCCACAGGAGAAGGAAGGAAGTGATAAAGATAAAAGCAGAAGTCAACAAAATAGAAAACAGGCATCAGTTGAAACAAAACTAGAAGCAGTTTCTCTGAAAAGATGAACAAAATTCATCAAGCCCTGTGCTGGCCGTGGCGCCTGACTCTTCAACTTCATAATCTTAAATCAGGTGGTGCAAATCCTCCAACGGGTGGTGTTGCTCCAGGTTCCTGGAATCTTCTAGTCTTCTGTCCCTGCAGGTGATAGGGGCTCCTCAGTGTCTTGATGTGGGTTGTATTTTTATTTTCCCGCTGCTGCACAGGAGTGTTGATGTTTGATGGGATGCCAGGTACTATAAGGCAGACCAGATAGTTTGTATTCCTTTGAGTAGTCTTAAGCTTTGTTATCAGAGGTGAGTTACCTGGAAACAGACTGACCCTTCAAGCTTTGCTTTCACAGTTTGGTAGGCAGGAGCAAAGCAGTGTGTGGTGCAGGCCTGATTTTGCTCTGGTGCCAAGAAGAGGTCTTTCTGAGTCCTTGTCTCCTGACTGATGGAAATAGTGCTGTTCTGGGATCTTTGGTTCTCTTTCCCTTGTGTTTCAGGAGGTTCCTTCTGCACACAACTATACTGTTGAGTGTTCCCCCAAATGGTCTGGGGGCTGGCTGTCACTCTCAGGACCCTCTCTCCCTGCAACTCTTGTCTGCTCCTCTCCTGAAAACCCTGCCCCTCATCTCAGCAGCCCTCCACCTGCCCCTCCACTCCAGGCAGTGAGCTGGGGCAGTCCTCAGGGTCACTGTCCTTCCATCTGGAGGTCGGCCTCAAAGCCATGTTTCATATGGTCCGTTCATTGTCATTGTTTCAGGCAGGAAGGTAAATCTGGTCCCCTGTCTGCTGAGCTGATTCAGACCAGCTAGGGCCCCCTGGTGGGAGTGGCACAGGGCCAAGCCCACCTAGGCCACCGGATGCTCCCCAGCCCCAGAGGGTGTTGGGGCGTCCACCAGAGTGCCCACCACAAAATATATTTTTTTTAATTTTGTTTTAGTTGCTGATGGACCTTTAATTAATTAATTAATTAATTTTTATGTGGTGCTGAGAATCCAACCCAGTGCCTCACACATGCTAGGCAAGCGTTCTGCCACTGAGCCACAACCTCAGCCCCCCAAATTTTTTTTTGAAAGAAGTAATTTTTAGGAGTACACACCCTGTGGGTGGCAGCTAAGATGGAGCCCTTGCAGCGTCCAAGCACAAAGTGACCGTGCAGCAGAGCTCTCCACCATGTCGCGTGGGAAGGGAGCGAGCTGCGGGCTTGTGGGCACTTGTGCCTTGGGGCAGGTGGGGCCCACGGGAGGGAGGGGGCATTGGGGCTCGCACTTTTTCCTGTGTGCATAAAGAGCTGGGTTATAGTAAGGCAGTGGCTTCCTGAGGGGGACGAGTGAGAAGCAGGAGGTAGTGGGCAGACAGTGGACAGGGTGGGGAGAGCTCACTAATACCTTTATGATACTTGCTGGTTTTTTAATCACCTGAGGATATTACCTGTTTGAAAAATAAATACAAAGATTAAAAAATGTTTTAAAGAATTCAGGGAGATAGAAAAAGCATTTATGATAAAATCAATTAAAGAAACATGAACTGATTATCATAATCTGTAAAGTGTGTATATATTTGTTTATAAGGAAAAATAAGAATTTTTGTGCTAGACTGGTGAAGTTTTTTATATTCTAGTGTTATAATGTGTATAAAATTGTTGAAATAATAAATGAATGAATAGAAATAATTGACAAGAACTACAATTAAATCTGTCTTGTTTCACCTCAGCAGAGGATGCTTCCCTAGGATATGAACCCTGGACCCTAAACACCCAGCCAGCTCCTTTCACTGCAGAAGAATTCAAACATGTAGGGCTCACAACCGCCTCTCTGTCAGCCCACACACAGAGAGAAGAACAGGATTATGTGGACAGGTTCCGGAAAAAGATCTTCTCCTCGCCCTATAGCTGCTATCTTCATTGCGAAAGCAGCAGCAAGGCCAGACGCTCCTGTGTTCAAGGTGGTTACATTAAAACATATATTCCACTTATTCCTGAGGCTGATAAAGCCATACAGGTGCCGCTGTCCCTCAGGGTTAGCCGGGATGGGCTCCAGGACCCACCCTGGCAGGTCCCCACCTGAAAGGTGCCTAAGTCCTAAGGCAGAGGGTTGCCACACCTGCCACATTCTCATCTCTTAGTTACTGTAAAGCCTGGGACAATGTCAGTGGTTCTTTTACTGCATTGTTTAGGGAATACTGACAAGGATGGTGAGTCTGAACATATTCAGTACACATGCAGATTTTTTTCTGATATTTTCCATCTGTGTTTGACTCTATTGATGTGGACCCTGTGGATATGGAGGGCCAACTTCCAGAGAGATGGCATGAGCTCTTGGGGTTGTGCTTGAAAGAGTGATGCTGAAGTAAATTCCCTTTTGTCAGTAATTTACTTAGGATATGAGATCTGAGTATTGATTTTTATAAGAAACTAAAGAGATGCTAAAATAAGCTTATTTATTTTTTAAAAAACAAATTTGTAGTTGTTGGTGGACAGAATGCCTTTATTTTACTTGTTTCATTTTCACATTGTGCTAAGGATCGAACCCAGTGCCTCACACATGCTAGGCAAGTGCTCTGCCACTGAGCCACAGCCTCAACCCCAAGCTTATTTTATAGTAATAATTTTTACCCAGAATTTTGTTCATCTTTTTAGAGCTACTTTTTGCTGTCTCTGAAGTAGACATACTTAATATTGGCAAGTGTTCATTCCTTTATAATCTATTTACAATTACCTGTACCTCCATTCTCTTCCCCTTCTTTCAGTTTAATTTTCCATAATATGCCTCCATCTTTATCCTTTCAGGAAATTTCACTTCCAAGCAGAGCAGGTTAGCAGGATGCAGAAAGGGGAAGCACAAACGAACGAAGCCACCAGTGCCCTTGGGCAGTAGCAGCTCCAGTGACAGCTTCTGTTCCCAGGCTGGGGGACCTCTTCAGGATGTGCTGCCCTGGTGCCCTTCCACCCCGTCTTCTGCCTGCGCCTCGGGCTTGGGGTTCCCAGCTGCTGTGATGGTTCCCAGCCAGTCCTCTTACCTCCTCCCAGCTTTTCCCCTGCCAGCCTGGGGAGCTACACCTGAATGTCCACCTAAGCCACCTGTGTCCAGTGGCCTGGAGCATCTGCCTGCTCTCCCTTCCCTGCACGTGGATACTTTGATGACCTTTTTCTTGCACGACCCCCATATCTGTCCTCTGTGGTCACCATCATTCTCTCCATATCCATTCTTGGGAGCCACAGACTCTTCTGAAATTCCTCCCTGGGTATCAGCAATGGCTCCAAATCTGGAACTACCTCCTTCAGTCAACAGTGGGAGGGTGGAGGAAAAATGGGAGATGCAAAAGGAAGAGCACCTGTTCATCAGTTCTCGGAGCAGCTCACCACTGCAGCTAGACCTACTCCATGAAGATGTGCCCGCGTCTCCTGAGCCTCCAGACGCAGTGAGAAGGGATGCTGGCCCCGAGGCCACAGATGTAAGTGATGCAGCTGTCAGCACACACCTACCGTCTGGCCTAGGCTCAACACTGATGTCCTCTTAGTTGTCTCTCTTGTCTATGGCCAAGGCTAAGCTTTGCTCCATGTGGCCTGCAATGGGCCTCTGACCCCATGGAATGTCCCTTGTCCTGTTTTGGTCCTCATCTGACCTCAGCTAACCCTTGCTCCACAGAGCCTGCATGGGCCTCCTGACCCCATGTGGGGATCAGGACTGGTCCTCAGGTGCTTGAGATCTCTTTTGTAAAGGGCCATCTTTCAAGTTTTCTTTGTGAACCAGGTTCCCTGCACCCTTTAAAATTTGATATCCAGGTTTTAAACTTAACGTGTTTATTGCCTATAAAAAGTATTTTCTTACAACTGAGGTTGTGATCTGGGAAGATGGGAATAGGCCATATAATATGAATTTACATGCATATGTGTAGGACACCAGGAGTTTATTTATGCAAGAGGTAGGAGTCACCTTTTGTAATCAAAAAGCAGGCAGCTTTAGCTGGGTGCTGTGGTGTATATCTGTAATCCCAGCAGCTCAGGAGGCTGAGACAGGAGGGAGGCTGAGACTGGAGGATCACAAGTTCAAAGCCAGCCTCAGCAACAGCGAGGTGCTAAGCAACTCAATGAGACCCTGTCTCTAAATAAATTACAAAATAGGGCTGGGGATGTGGCTCAGTGGTTGAGTGTCCCTGAGTTCAATCTGAAGTACCACTGCCCACTCCCACCCCACCCCCACCCAAAAAAAGCAGGCAGCTTTAAATTTCATGTTTATACACATCATTTGGGTCATTTTTTCTTTAACTTTTGAAATACTGTGCCTTGTTAAATTTTTGTATTACCAGATTAAATTTTGGAATCTTGACATTCCTGTATTTTAGTGTAGAATCCAACAAGTGTGGATATGTACTTGTTTTTCTTTGGTCTTCCCTTCAAGGTATAATACCCTTCATTGAACATATGTTCACAGTATGATGATCAGAATCGAGAATTTAGGCTCGCCTATGGAGAGCCTGGCACCAGTGCACTGGCTAAAAATCTGAAGCAAGGCCCCGTGTCATTCTGACTGGAGTCTGGGCTAGGGAATAGGACATGGTTTAAACTGCACTGTGTCACTAGTTGGGTGTTAGCTCAGACAAGTTATTTAACCTTTCTTTGCCTTTGTTTTCTTATGAAGAAAGTAAAAAGATGGCTAGCTCAGAGCCTATTCCCAGGATCATATGACATGACGAGCACATTCCCCTGAGCACCAGCTCTGGGGACCCTGGGACTTCCTTCCGCCTGCTGCCATATGCCTACAGTTTGCACAGTGCTTGGAACAAATGAAATGTTCAATATGCATATTTACCGAATGACAGAGACAAAAGAGCACACTTGAGTGATGCTTGGAGTGCTTTAGGTGCTCCCTAAGCAGTGACACTTTCCCTGTTACACAGAGGAACTTTGACAAGTCCTTAGGGACAGGCTGCGTCTTCACCTCCCAGCGTGAAGCTGAAGACCTGCCTGTCATGGGATGCTTGGAATGTTAACGTGTGTCTTCTCCTGTCCCTCCTCTCCAGCACCGTGTTTCAGGTGGCGGTGGCAGCAGGAGCAGTTCTGCTGCTGGTGACCTCTCCCCAGCCCCACCCCACAAGGTGTCTCCATCTGGAGCTGGTTCTGCAGCCGCAGGTAGTGGATCTGGGAAACCGCTTCTTTAGACTCTGCTGTCCAGAGGTCGCTGTGTTGAGGGCATCTGACTGAGACACCCATGTAAAGATAGAGTCCCCCCACCTTTTTTTTAATAGGCTTTCTTGGGGTATATTTACATACAATAAAATTGACCAGTTTTAATTACACAAAACAAGAATTCCAACAGATTTGTACACTTGTAAACCACTTCTACTATCACCAGAACCTTTCTATCACTCTAGAAAGTTCTTCTGTGACTCTTCAGACATTTCCAGCCCTGGGTTTGCCACTTTAATTTTGCTTTTGTTCTAATTTTGCACATTGGATTAGACAGCGTGCAGCTGTTCATGTTAGGCTTCTCTGAGAATGAGGTTGTTGAGATCCATCCTGGTGTGTGGGCACTTAATGTATCCATTCGCCAGAGGAAGTTTGTCGGGTCGCTTCTGCTCTGGGGCTGGGATCAGTAATGCACTGTGAGTTCTTCCGTGGACATATGCTTAAATTTTCCTTGGGTAAATACCTGGGAGTGGAACTGAGGCCTGTGGCAAGGGTATGGTCAGCTTGGTTAGAAACTGCCCAATTGCTTCCAGAGCAGATGTGTCCGGGGCGCCTGCTGGGCTGGGTGGTGAGGAGCAGCTGGCCACCACGGACCTGGAAGTCAGTCTTTTCATCTGTTGTTGATTTTTTCAGGAAGCAGTGATAGCTGCATCTTCTTCACTAGTACTGATTATTCTTCTGAAAGCTCTGAAAATGGGCAACAATCTCAGGATACACAGAAAACAAACGCCTTTCACAGTTTAGCTGAGGATCCCATCTGGAAAATGATAGCACAAACTCCTGAGTGTGTTCTGATGACGTATCAGGTGCCAGAGAGGTAAGAAAGCATTCTAAAAGACATTCTATGTTGTTATGGCTTCTAGTGTTATAAATATAACATAACCATAAAAGTATTTTAAAATGTTTTATACATACCCTTCAGATTTACTCATTTGAAGTCAAGCAAGAAATGACTTCCTAAAGCAAGGGTAGTAGTGGTAGTGCGGCACATACACAGACCCAGACTGAACAAACGTGTGTCTCATCCTGAGACAAGAAAACAGCTGGGGTTGTACCTCAGTGGTTGAGCGCTTACCTCACATGCTTGAGGCACTGGGTTTGATCCTCAGCACCATATTAAAAAATAAATAAAAACAAAGATATTGTGTCCATCTACAACTAGAAACAAAAACAAAAAAACAAAGAAGGGCTCCACGTTCCAAGACAGTACACAAGGTGAGGAACTTTTCTCTTTAGACGCTAAAAGACAAGGGGAGCAAAGGGAAGCCCATTTCTTCCATGTGCTTCATTGAAACATCATGCAGTTGTTTTCCATTGAGAATAAAAGGCCTGCTACCAGCCTGGCTGGGAAATGGTTCTGCACTGTTGTCCATGTGTGCATCGTGTATTAACCAGACAGTGAAATTGTCTCACCCACCAAAGAGAACAGAACCCTGCACCTTATTCAGGACTGTGAAGATGTCGTTATTTGTTTCCAGGGTTAAGGAAGTTGTGCTAAAAGAAGATCTAGAAAAACTGGAAAGCCTAAAACAGCATCAGCCCCAGTTTTCTCCTGGGCAGAAGGAAGAGCTAGCAAAGGTGCATCCTTGGATTCAAAGCCAGACTGTCCCTCGAGGAATGCATGTCCAAGTAAGCCCAGTAGCATAACCATCACATAGACGTGTTTTGCATTGGGAAGTGTTCTTAATGTAGGTGAGCTTTTTCATGATCCCACTGAAATTTGTAATCCTCCCAATTGACAGAGGTGCTATTAAGGTTTGTAGATGTTAAATAATAATATAAGGTTATGCAGTTCTTTGAATTTTGAACTCAGGTCTTTTTGACACTAATTTTTTTTCTTTCACCAGTTGGACTCTTTGGGGGCAATAAAGATAATATTTGCTTTGATGTATGATGAGGGAGGAGAGAGGTGGAAGAGACATACATTTCACATATACATGCATGTTTGAAAAGAGTTAAAATTGTGGGCTGGAGATACAGCTCAGTTGGTAGAGTGCTTGCCTTGCATGCACAAGGCCCTGGGTTCAATCCCCAGCACCACAAAAAAAAATTTTGTAGAAGATTTACACTTGAGGTGGTGTTTACAGCCAGCAGGAAACTTGGTGGGGCCCACGTGGGCTTTGCCATCATGAGGTCATAGAGTGTTCGTGAACAGCTTCAGCAGTGAAGACTTTATCCACCACTGTTCCTACCGGTGGTGCAGCCGTAGTAATGGAAGTGACAATTGCATGGTAATAAGGCCTTTTCCCCCAGTTCTCAACATGGGGAGGTGGAGGCATCAGGTTAGAAATTACTTTCAGAAAAGTAGTATATGAAGGCTCTTGAAGTAAGCAGGTCACTAAAATCCTCCCCTCTCACTCTTTTTAACTTAGTACTTTTTAATCTGATAAAATATACATGATCCATGTAGCGTAAAATTTATCTTCCTATTTTAAAGTGCACAGTTCAGAGGTATTGAGTACATTCATATTATACATCCATTAGCACCATCCAGCTCCTGAACTCTCTATCTTACAAAACTGAAACTGCTCAGAAACAAGGAACTGAGCATCTCTCCTCCTGCCTCTCCTCCCACCTCCTGGGCAGTCCTCCCACTGTCCACCTGTGGGCCTGGCTGCAGAGTACTTCAGTACCTCGTGCAGATGCAGCACACACTCTCTTTCCGACTGGCTTATTTGTAGACACACCTGCTCTCTCTTGGTAGCTGTTGTGTGGCCTGTCTGTCCCTCCTCTCACTGTCAGCCTGTGTCCAGAGCTAACGTGACTCTCTTGTGGACAGCAAATGGTCAGATCAACGTGTTCACACCCTTTGTTCCAGCCTCTGCCTTCTGAGTGGAAAGTCGGGCCCTTTACGTCTAAGGGACCGCTGGTCAGAGGCGCACGGTGCCCTCTTGCTGCTTATTCTCATTGACTCTTGTTTCTTCATTGTTGTCTTCTGTTGTATTAGGTTTATTTAATTATTTATTTATTGCAGTGAAAATTTTAATTCCCTGCTCATTTTCTATTGTGTATATTCTGTAATTATTTTGTTTGTGGTATCTATGAGGGTCATATTTAATATCCCAATGTTATGTCACTCCAGTTTGAATTATTCCAGCTTACCTTCAATAACATTAAAAAAACAAAAAACAAAAAAACCTCAGCTGAGTGCAGGGCGGTGCATGCCTGTGACCTAGTAGCTCAGGAGGCTGAGGCAGGAGGATTGTGAGTTCAAAGCCTGCCTCAACAACTTAGCAAGGTCCTAAGCAACTCAGCAGGACCCTGTTTCTAAATAAAGTATTTTAAAAAGGGCTGGAGATGTGGCTCAGTGGTTAAGTACTCCTGGATTCAATCCCCAGTACCAAAAACAAACCAACGAACAAAAAACTACTTCTATAGAGCTCCATCTCTATCTCCTTTCAGCTACTGATGTTACAAAATTAGATTTTGTTTGGTACTGGAGATTGAATCCAGGGTGTTCTACCTCTGAGCTACATCCCCAGACCTTTGTTTGTATTTTATTTAGAAACAAGGTCCTGCTGAGTTGCGTAGGACCTTGCTAAGTTGTGCGGGTGACCTTGAACTTGGCAATCCTTCTGCCTAAGCCTCCCATTGCTAGGATTATAGGTATGCACCACCGTGCCCAGCACAAAGTTAGATCTTGATATATTGTATGTCCAAAAACATAAACTAATATCTGTTTTTATTCATTAATCTCTTAAATGATGTAGAAAATAAAATATATAATTACAAACTAAAGTTACCATAATATTAGCTTTGAGACTAGCTTTCTTTAAATGTATTAGTCTTTTAAATCATATAGAAAACAAAAAGTTACATGTCATTTTTAGAATAATAGTAGCTTTTATAATTAACCCCATATTTTTCTTTACTGAGAACTTTTATTTTTTTCCTCTGGCTTTGAGTTATTGTCTGTTGTCCTTTCATTTCAACCTTTAGCATTTCTAATTCCTAATTTCTTCCTCACCTTTTTCCCTCCCTGTACCAGGAATTGAACCCAGGGGCACTTCTTTACCACTGAGCTACATCCCCAACTCTTTTTATTTTGAAACAGGGTCTTACTAAGTTGCCCAAGGTCTTACTAAGTTGCTGAGGCTGGCCTTGAACTTGCAATCCTCTTGCCTCAGCCTCCTGAGTAGCTGGGACTATAGGCGTGTACCACCATGCCCAGCTCTCCCTCTTTTTTTTTTTTTTTTTTGTGGTGTTAAGGATCGAACCCAGGGCCTTGTGCATACAAAGCAAACACTCTACCAACTGAGCTATATCCCCAGCCCTCTACCTCACTTTTGAAGGAGTTTTGCCAGATATGGGATTCTTGATTGACAGTTTGGGTTTTTTTAAAGTACTCTAAATATATTGGCTCAGTGTTCCTGGCCTCTGTAACATCTGATGGGACCTCTGCCTATAGCCTCACCGTTGTACCTGGTGAATCCTTCCTTGCTGCCTTTGAGATGCTCTTTCTTGAACCTTAAACTGATTGTAATGGATCTCAGGGTGGGTCTCTCAGGTTATCCTTCCTGGAGTTGATTAAGAGCTTCTTGGACGTGTACATTCATATCTTTCACTGAATTTGGAAAGTTCTCGGCCATTTTCCTTCACACCCCCCTGTCCTGCTCCATGCTTGCTTCTCTCTTGCTGGTCCCGCGGGCACTTCCGGCTCTGTTCACTTCCCTTCCGTCTTTCCTTTCTGTTCCTCAGACTTGACAGTTCGACTGTCTTCACATTCTTAGTTCCTTCTTCTGCCTTCCGTGTCTGCCTTTGAGTCCCTCTAGTGAATTTTTCATTTGTTTTGTCTTTCTCAGGTACAGAGTTTCTTTTTGATTTCATTTTATGTTTTCTTTTTTTAAAACTATTTTTAGTTGTAGATGTACACATACCTTTATTTTGTTTGTTTATTTTTATGTGGTGCTGAGGGTGGAACCCAGTGCCTCACATGTGCTAAGCCAGGGCTCTACCGCTGAGCCCCAGCCCCCGCCCCTCATTATATATTTCCTATTGCTTTATTGATATTTCTGTTTTGTTCATACATCGTCTTGGTTTCTTCCATGTCTTCCTTGACTTCTTGAAGCTTCTCTGAGATGGTTGCTGTGAAGCCCTTGTCTAGTAAGCCAGCCATCTGCTCCTCCTCGGAAGCCCTTGCTCTTGGCTCCTTCTTCCTGAGTGGGCAGTGCTTTCCTGTTTTTAGGCCTGTAGCAGTGGTTGAACTAGACCTTGGGACCTTGTTGTGTGGTAGACTCCTGCTCCATTCCTGGAGCTTGCTGCTTTTGGCTTTTCTCACTGATTGTCATGACTGTATCTGCTGGAGGGCAGCAGGAGGCACAGACCTCAGGACTTCCCAGACCTTTGTTAAGTCTGCACTTCTCCCCAGATGTGCATGGAGACTCTCCAAATTCCCCACATAAGTGGTTGTATTTGAATGTCCTAGACTTTAAATGTCTGCCTCCCAAAGTGGGGGGAGGGGTAGGAGTGGGTAGAAAAAAAAGAAAAGGGCATTGGCCCTTTAAATTCCTTGAGAGTTGCTTCAGCTGGTGGGGCAGGAGCTTGCAACAGTAGAGGGGAGGGTGTCATGATGGCTGCCCACCTGAGTGTCTATACCACCAAGACCAGCAGCAGCCAGAGAACAGGTCCCAGTTGTCGGAGGATGAAGTCTTTACTGTCCACTCTGATTCCCATGAGCTGCATGCAGGCTGCTCCAGAAATATATGCATGTCCACTGGGTAGCTGGTACTCTGTTGCAGCTGAATTTGACCAAAACCAACCACAGTTTACCATTGAGGCCTTCCCCTGGAAATTGTAGCCTTCAAATAGACTCTCCCTGAAGGGTACGTGAAGAATGAGCTTACAAAGAATTTAAGCTAACGTATCTAAACAGTTTCTGTCATTTACATTCTTATAATTATAAAAATGGACCATAGGGCTGGGGATGTGGCTCAAGCGGTAGCGTGCTCACCTGGCATGCGTGCGGGCCTGGGTTCGATCCTCAGCACCACATACAAACAAAGATATTGTGTCTGCCAAAAACTAAAAAAATAAATATTAAAAAAAAATCAATCTCTCTCTCTCTCTCTCTTTCTCTCTCTTTAAAAAACAAATGGACCATATTAGGTACTTTCAGACATGAATAAGTTGAGGAGTTAGAAATGATGTTGCTGGCCAGCCCTATGCTGATTTTAAACCCTCAAAGGGCACAGACGTTGCATAACAGGCCTGCCTGTGTTCTCTTTTGAGAGCTGCACCACCTGTGAAGACAGAGGTTCAGCTGGTGACACTGCAGAGGCCCCTGGGCCGCATCCAGGAGAAGACAGCAGCTGAGCCACCATGAGGATGTCCCTGCACAAGCTTTCCAGGGCACGTGTGACAGGCCTCCCTATGTGTCTCTAAAGCTCGACTCACAAGTGACCACAAAGTCATCATCAACATAAGACTTCCCACCGTGCTTTTTTAACAGACATCATTTTTCTGAAGCAGAAGCAGCATTGTATATCGAATCTTCTCTTTGTTCCTGATGTGTTAAAACTGCCAATTAGACTCCTTTTCTAGTTTAGCTGCCTTCTAGAGAGATTGGATTGCCTTTAAGAGGTAGGTGTATGGTAAAATTTTATTTCAAATATCACCCAAAATAAATTATGATTAGAAGTACAGCTAAAATGAGCCCACAGCTGAGCCTCTCTGGTCTGTCTGTTGCTGCCTGAGTCGTTCTCCCTGGTGGAGTGCGAGGAGCAGCACACCCCTGGGCGTGTGCCTCCGTGATGGTCTCTGAAACGTGGTGCTCCCCTGTGACTCAGAGGACATCCCAGTTTCCTGCCACCCATTAAAGTCCATTGTCCACTAGTAAATCAGGAAATAACTATTTTTAAGGCTGGATTTTTTACTTTCATTCTTACAAATGCATTTTTACTTTTTTTTTTACCTGTCACTAAAAGGTTTTTCTAAAAAGAATCCATCAACTTATTAAGGGGCTTATTCTTTGGAGAACTTAAAATTAGCAATTGTAAATGTAGTTAAAACAAAAGAGCTATTTACTCAACCAATAGTGTTTTTCTTTTTAAGATTTTTTTATTTTAAAATAATGATTGTAAAAAGTGACAAAAGTTCTATAAGTTAATATTCTTCTTATTGCATATGTGTTTAACCATTAACTTTTGCTTTCCACTGAATTTACACAAAGATGGCTTTCTGTGCTGAGCAGAGATCTAATTGGCGCTGCCTTTTGTTTGCCCTTGAACAGGGTAAGTGTTCTGATACCCAGTGAGAAACCTCTGGGGAGCTCAGCGACCCCAGCCTCCCCAGCCCTCAGGGACTGCAGTCCTCAGGAGTCATTGATTTCTGTGTCACTTGCCAAAGAGTCTCAAGAAGTGAGTGTTGACTTGACAGATTGGCTCACTCTGGTGCTCTTTATAGAGAAGTCATGGTTCCTTCTCAGACTTAGAATGATATGCGTGATCCACACCCATGCAGCTCAGAAAAGGAAATAGAAGATGAAGGTCACAGTGACCTTGTATTTTTATATAACTTACAACAAACTTATTTTTTTCTTTGTTTTGTTTTTTTTGTTTGTTTTAGGAAAAGACTTCTTTCTCCTTTGAAGTTTCATAACTTTTTCTAAATGCATCCTCATAATGATTAGGCAAATTGACCTTTTTGTCTGTGGAATAGATGGACCCTGATTCTCCAATCCTGTAGCTCAGATTTTCTCCCAAAATAGTGGGTTCTGGATTCAGTCTTCAGGTATCAAAATCAGTTTCAAATGCTGCCTTTGACATTTCTTGAAATTTTCTAGTATCAAGCATTCGCATACAAATATTGCTGTTTTATGAATAGAGAACACTCATATTCTATTCCATCTTGATAGTTAAATGATTTCTGAGGTCTTTTTGTGTTGATCCAGTTGTTCTGGTATTTTTTTCCCCTTGGTAAAAAAAATCAGATTAAAAAATTAGCCTGTCCACTGACAACTTTCTAGAGTAATGAAGTTCTTAGTTTGTGTAAATCAAAGTTGGCATTTGGAGCTATCAGGGTCATTCTGCCTTTATGTGTGCGTACTTTAGCGAGATGCAATGGGATTCACAGTGGCCTCTGCTCCCCCCCAGGGGTCTGGTCTCACCCAGTTGAAGCTTGGTTGTTCAAGTTTATTATCAGCTTTTTGTATTAATGACTGTAGGAACTGGTGATAAAAGTGTATTTTATAGGCTTCCATGTTTACATAAATACTACCCAAAAAGCTTTATTTTCTTGGGTCAGAGGCCAAAATTTATGAAAAACAAAATGCTGTACAAAGGGAATAGTTTTGCAATTACACAAAACTTCATTATTAATTCATAAAATAAATTTAATCCAACTTGAAATTTTATTTCAACTGAATTTATAATTATGTGATTTACTTGTTTTTAATGGCTATTAATATTTTATTTGGGTATCTTTTTTAAGTAAAATAAGAAACTGTACATGTGAAACCTGTGGGTCCCTAGCAGTGCTGTGTGGCAAGCCCTGGTCTCAAGTGGGTTTTGCGTCATGAGAGGCGCTTCTCCTGGAGGCACTGGGTTGCCATTGCAGCGCATGTGGGCTAATGGTGACAGGCGTGTCTCAGTCCCTTTTCCCAGCACATTGGCTCATTTTTATTTTTATTTATTTATTTTTTTAGTTATCGGCGGACACAACATCTTTGTTTGTATGTGGTGCTGAGGATCGAACCCGGGCCGCACGCATGCCAGGCGAGCGCGCTACCGCTTGAGCCACATCCCCAGCCCTACATTGGCTCATTTAATCCTTGCTCTGGCATTGTGAAGAATTTATTGGGTTCCGTGTGTGTGTGTGTGTGTGTGTGTGTGTGTGTGTAGTAATTTTCATGCCACTTTAATGAAACCCAGTTAGCATATTACTCTTTCATATTCCACAGGGTGAACCTGTGTTTTACAAAGACTGTAACTTGGGCTGGGGATGTGGCTCAAGTGGTAGGGCGCTCGCCTGGCATGCGTGTGGCCCGGGTTCGATCCTCAGCACCACATGCAAACGGAGATGTTGTGTCTGCCGAAAACTAAAAAATAAATATTAAAAAAAAAATTCTCTCCCCCCCCGATACAAAAAAAAATTAAAAAAAAACAAAAACAAAGACTGTAACTTAGCAGCAACAAAATCTAGAAATTAAAATATGGAACAAGAGCCTGAAGTCAACAGGTCTTTTAATAATACCCTTTTTGAATCCTTGCCACCTCTCTGTGGCAACAGTGACCACAGCAGGAAGGAAAGGGCCTTCGTGTGGGTGGCACTTAGTGTGGGTCAGCAGCTCCTGGTCTCAGCTTCCCCCGAATAAGCCTTGTCATCCCTGTTATGGAGGACACTGTGGCAAGGGAGCAGATAGCCTGGTGGAGGACACAGCTGGTACGTGAAGCGAGTGAGGGTCTGAATTTCATGATCTGACTGCGGAGCTGTAGAAATAATCTCCCGATACTACCATGAGTGAGGGATTTTGGAATCGCTACAAGGGAATTCTTCCTTGAGGCTCTTTCTGGTGTCGTGGTGCGAGCTGGTATGGGCTCCCTCAGCTCTCAGAGGCCCAGCGTGTCCCATAGCTGTGCCTGGTGTGGACATGCATCTGAGATCAAGTACCCACTCCTCACTAACATCTTTCTCTACAGATGTTCTTTTTTTTTTTTTTTAATACCTTTATTTTATTTCTTTATGTGGTGCTGAGGATTGAACCCAAGGCCTCGCATGTGCTAGGCAAGCGCTCTACCGCTGAGCCACAACCCCAGCCCTCTCTACAGATGTTCTTGATGTCTTAAACCAGGAGAGCTTTATCCAGCTGCACTCTGTAAGAGATCTGTGATGGCTGCTGATAAGTGCACATCACCTGCTTCCAAGTGCCTGGTGCAGCCTGTGCTGCGAGGGAGGGGGATGGACAGCCCCTGTGGTCCCCCTCTGGACAGTCTGCAGAGCCCTTGGTGCTCACCCTAGTCATTCTGACCACATCACTGTAGAGGTGCTGGTGACATGGAGTAGATTTACATACGTGTGGTTTCTAAAGATTAGTAAATAGGGATCTTTCTTCTGTTCTTCAATTTTAAATCCTGCCATAGCCTTTTCTCTCAATAAGAAACTAAGGTATTTCCCCCAGAATACATGAACCGTGATTCTAGAGCTCCGAGGAGCGCAGTTCCAGCGTGTGTCTGTGTGAATGTCTTGGCTGTTCGGGGAGGGGCGAGGCCAAGCCCAGGAACCTCCTGGTGGGAGCCCATCCTGGGTTCTGCCTGGAGGTGTCACTCACTCTAGAGACCAGCCAAGCTATGGCACTGCTTTTTAAAAAGTAACAGTTTATGTGGTCATTTTTAAGGGTGAGAGGACATCAGCCTTTGTTTAAATGGTTTGTAGTTGAATGATTTTGACTAAACTTCACCTTTATGGCTTTTTCTTCTTAGTATTTGTTTCTATTTATTTATTATCTTTACTTTAAATTTCCAAGAAATTAGAACTAAATTGAAGGTAAGAAAAATGACAGATTTCCAGGACATGCTTACAAGTGAACTAGCCGCTCGTGATCTTGCGGACTAGAGCGTCTTTCCCAGGGATGAATTGGGTGGTGGCCTCGTTTTTCTTCAGTGCTTCTGGTCAGGTGTCTTGTGTCGGACTGTCCACACTGAGCCGGGTCCCTCTCGCCTCAGACACAATACTTCCAGAAGCACTCCAGGGGGGGCCCATGCTGCTTGTGCTGTTTCCTGGGTCTGGCCAAGAGCTGACTCAGAAAAATGTTAGGATCCTCTTCAGGGAAAGCCTGAAACCAGAACAATCCAGAACAACATCAACCGTCAGTGCAAGAGGAAGGAGCCTTAGCCGAGCCTCTGGGGTGAGTGCTTGCCCTGTGGCCCTCTGGCTGTTCCTGTACCCCCTGGATTCTGGCCTCCCTCCGGCTCCTCATCCCGGGCCTCCAGTCTCCCCACCTGTGGTTACTGTGAAGTTTTCTAAGCCCTTGTTGGCCTAGTCCTGTGTAAGTTCTCTCTTAGTGACATGTTGTGCACATATATTGTTCTCTGTGTATCAAATCTTGGTCATAAAATTTTCTCTTTATTGTGTTTTTTTTTTCCCCCTAGAATTTAACGAACACAGCCTACTTATCACCTGTGTGGTTTTAATCGTTAATCATAACCCTGTTCAGGAGAACGTAAACATGGGAATGGTGACTTGTAATTAGCCACATATAGAAGCCAGGGCGTCCCCTTCTGGGTAGCTTCTCCCTCTGGGACTGCAGGTGGTATGTGGTATGTGCTGTCTGCAGGATCTAATGTGTCCACCTTGTACTTTTGCTGGAATGTTAAGGGGCATTATAGCCAAAGAGGTGCCTCTGGTCAGAATGGGAAGTGGTTGGTTAGTGTTAAATGAGGCTCTTGAGCTAGTGACCTTCTGGGGGCCTCCAGATGCTGCTGTACATGCACTGCCAGGAAGGGAGAGTGGGAACCCAGGGCAGCCGAGGCCAGGCGCAGGAGGCGCACTCAGGAGACCCCTCAGGCAACACCAAGAGCTTTCTGGGGTTGCTGATGACTGCATAGACTTTTCTTCTAGCTTGTCAGGTCCTCTGCGCACTGTGCACCATTTCTAACCAAGGGTTTTGCCATCCTCGTTCCCTATTCCAGCCCTCTCCACCCAAATCGACTTTTTCGAGACCGCTCTCTGCTCCGTCCTGCATCCCACAACTGTGGACACAGCATTCCTCCCTTGAGATGGAGGTGCCAAGCTCCCAGGGCTGTCAGGTGTGAGGGGGAAGCTCGTTGAGGTAGGGGGATGACTCGTGGGTTTTATTTTATTTTGAGGGGGTACCAGGGATTGAACTAAGGGCCCTCAACCACTGAGCCACACCCCCAGCCCTATTTTGTACTTTATTTAGAGACAGGGTCTCACTGAGTTGCTTAGCTCCTCGCGGTTGCTGAGGCTGGCTTTGAACTGGCGATCCTCCTGCCTCAGCTTCCTAAGCCGCTGGGATTACAGGCGTGTGCCACTACACGCTGCTGACTTGGCGGTTCTTGCAAGCTCCCAGGTGATGCAGTGCTTCTGGCGGGAGTCAAGAAGGCGGTGACCGTACAGTGACCAGCACACTTGAGAGCAAGGACCTTGTCTGGTTTTTTGGTTTGTTTAGTTGATTGGTTTTTGTTGTTGTTGTTTTGCTTTAAATTCTTACAACTTATTTAACTTACCCTAAACAGACACTGGTGAGTCCTTGCCACATTCATATTTTTTTATGAATAACGGTTTGGATAAGTTAATGCTTCCACAACACTGGCCAATTACTTTAAGGTGCAATTTTTACAAGAACACTAGCAGTTCCTGAATTCAGGAATCTGTGAAATCAGGACTAGAAGGCTCCCCTTTCATTCCTACCTCTCGTAAGCAGAGATACTTACCTTTCTCGGATGGCTTCTTGGGTTGGAAATGTTCATAGTAGGATCTGGAAAACAGTTTTGAAACCAGTTCATCAGATCTGCTGTGCCTAGTGTGAGCTTGCTTTAGAACACATAAAATAGTGTATGATGAGTCACATCTCCTCCCAGTCCCTCACGCTGCAGCAGGGTTCACTTGAATACAGAGAGGGGTCCTTACCTCTGGGGTTCACAGAGGCCTTGCAAAAATGCTTAACAGTTCAATATTTGATTATTTAAAAAATTAATGAAAGCTGAACTACCATCTGCTAAATAACGCAGTGAAAGGCTCCATCTTGTTTCTGGAATGTCCTGAGCATGGCGTCCGTGCTGGGGGAGACACTAGCCATGGACAGGAGTCAGAGCTGGCGTTTGTTCTCTGAGCATTTCACTTGCATTTTTTCGCTGACTTTTCAAAACACCTCCAGAGGTGGGTGTTTGTCATTTCTGTTTACTGATGAAGAGCTGGGTTACAAAAAGATTCAAACCCTGGGAAACCAGGATTTAAAATTGCACTCATTGGAAACAAAATCACCACTGCCCCCCACCCCCCATCCACACAGAAAGAGAGGCTCAGGGTGCCTTGCACCCCTGGAGCTGGGTGGTGAGGACCACAGGTTGCAGCGGGAGTCCGGGCCAAGAGGGGAGAGCGCTGGGTCACTAGTTTTGCTGTTCCATCTGGCGCACCTTTATGCTCCCGCACAGGGTTTCCCCTCGTCTGAGGACAGAGGGTGAATTCAGTAGCCATGAAACCAAGCCCTCTGTAAGCAGGGACTCAGCTGACCTGCTTCCCGGAGCCCGTTGCCTCTCTCCGCACCCAGCAGCCCGTCGCCTCTGCCCGCACCCAGCACCTCTGGCAGCAGCTTTAGGATGGAGGCTCTTTCCAGCTCCTCCAGGGCCAACCTCGCGTCGTCTTCAGGTGCTGCAGAGTGAGATCGAGACCAGTGACTCGCTCCAGCCTTCAGCTCGTCATTTCCGCTCCCTGTTGTGTTGGGGGAGTACCAGCAACAGGGAGAGGAATACTAGAAAAACTTCAGATGCAAAGTTCGTGATCTGGGACTGGTGGTGTTTTATTTATTTGCAGTACTGGATATTGAACACAGGGTGCTCTACCACTGAGCCACATCCCCAGCCCTTTTATTTTTATTTTGAAACAAGGTCTCACTGATTTGCACAGGGCCTCACTAAGTTACTAAGGCTGACCTCAAACTTGGGATCCTCCTGCCTCGGCCTCCTAAGTGGCTGGAATGGCAGGCATGCGCCACTGCACCCAGCAGTAGTGGTATTTAACAAGTGAAAGGCTCACTGTCCGTTTGCATGCCAGCAGGACAGAGGTCAGGAGATGTGGATCTCATATGTGACTCACCTCACCACCCAGGAGGGAGAGCCCTGAGCAGGAGGGAGAGCAGAGCAGGGGCCCTCAGCACCCTGTAGCTCCGAGAGTCTGAGGGACCCTCCTTCCCTACTTGTCCCCTGCAGCTGACTGCCTTTTCTTTAGATATCTGGGTGGTGCCATTAGAATGAGAGGAAAAGAGATGGTTTTTGCTCTTTCCATAAAGGAAGGGCAGTGGCAGCACCTCTCACTGTCCTCCAGGTGGAGATACAACTATTACTATCCTGGAAAAGAATTAGCTTCAAGACCACTTGTAAGGCGCTTGATCGGTGTGGATCAATTTAAGGTGCTTTTCCAGCATGAAATGTGGCCAGTGGGCTGGCCCTACACTGTGCAGTCATCACCGAAGCTCTGAGGGCTCTCGGATTGGATTGGAGTCGTGGGCTACGCTGCCGTGCAGGGGCGCAGGCTGCGGGAGTGGGCGGAAGCCACACATGGCCGCAGCCTGACAGCGGAGCTAGGACCTTGTCTGCAAGACGGCACACAAACCCTCCGTCCGAAAGGCGTCCGGGCATGTTCTCAGCATTTCTAATACCAGCGAAACCTGTGAAGTCTGATCATGGACAGGTGCTTATGGCTTGAAGGGTCCTTTACAAAGGAGCAAAGATTTGTGACAAAAATTCCACGGTAAGCTTCTGCCTGCCTGGAATCTGGGAGAGGTGCTGCCCTCATTTCATCTGATTTTGTTTCTAATTATTATCTGAGTGTTTAAAATACATTAGTATCTGAATGTTCATTTGATTTCTTCTTACAGTGCTTATCAAAATCTCTTTTTAAATAATAGAGATTTGGTTAGTGCCTGGTTTTGACCAACAAGGTGACTGCCAGTTAGGAGCTCGGTGACCCAGAAGTGACTGAGGATGTATGAATGACTAGCAACACTTGAAAATCATGAGAAAGCTGTTTGGGGAAACTTTTAGAGGCTAGAAATTATAAAATCAATGGCTTAGAAGAGTTTTTTCTTTATTTTAAAAAAAAATGTCTAAAAGTACTCAAAGAAAATCCAATGAAATTTTTTTTTAATGGAACTTACCTCTGCCTTCTCACTTCTTAAACTGATGTACCTCACTGGTTGTATTTTCTTAAAGCTCAACTTGGACTTTTATGAAATGAGCATGTATCAAAAGGAAAAGATAAATGCACTTGGAAGACTGTGACATCCCTGCCCTGCTTGCCACTTTCCTGATCTTTAATAAGCCCGTTTGTCTCAGCCACACATCAGGTGATTACTTTTTATTATAGAAGGAGAGAGAGTATTACTGATCCGTAACTAGAACAGCTGATTCTACACTCAACCCAGTTTATTTTAAAATTAAAAGTAATGATGTTTTAAATTCAGTGCAATTTCTATAAATGGGAAAAAATATTGACCAAAGCAAAAGTTTGAATTGGAGAGGTGATATGAAGCCAGCAGTGCTACTTTTCTGTGTTTACATTTTAGAAAGAGAGAGCTGCGTCCACTACTAAATCTAAATTGTGCTGCAAGGGCGCCCGGTGTTCTTGGTAGAGCTGGGACTATCCATGTAACCAGCTCCTCCAAGCAGGAATCCCACCCTCACCTCCAGCATGGCCCCGAAGGCCAGTGGAGATTCTTCAGAAAGACTAGTACAAAAGATGCATCTTACCTGGGAGCTGGAGAGACATGTCCCTGGAGTCAGTGACAGGAAGAGATACGAGAGGATTTAAGAATCCTATAAAGAGCAAGCAGCAGGAGGCCAGCTGGTACATGATTGTGGAGAGGCAAAGTCCCCCTGGCTCTGTCCTGGAGTGTTATCAGCTTGCTCCTCCTCAGTCTGTGGTCACCAATTATATATATCATCCCATGACCTCATACAGAAAAATGTAAATGTATTGGCTCTGGAGGCTAAAAGGCAATCACTTTGCATTGATGTAATTTTTCAAAGTAACAATTCGTAGACAATAAATTTGCTGTCTCGTTGCCTAGTGTGCAAAGTAGGTAATATAAAGAACAAATCTGGCAAAAGGAGTCACTTGGCAGTAAATCTTGAGTTAGAGAAAGGGTCAGAAGTGAGTTGAGTGGCCAAGGTAGGAGACACAGATTTAACCGAAGTGACGCAGAGTGTGACATGAAATATGTTGGTTCCTTTTAGTTTTAATCTTGTGAGTTGATGAGTTGCCGTGTGGTGCTGGGGCTGCCATGCCTGGACAACCACAACCTCTGGACAGACTTACAACCAGTTCTTTAAAACAGTGAAGATAACTTAAAATATACAGCAGACATAGCTCAGGACTCCATTTCAGGGCCTGCAAGCATGGAGACCTCAGGGAGAGGAAAGCATTCCGCAAAGCTGGACGGTATCTGTGAAGCAGGGCTAAAGGACCCCAAGACCCTGCAGGTAAATATCTCCAGAACTTGGCCTGCTCACCATGGCACCTGGGCAGCTGCCGTGGTGTCCCCAGGAGTGCCGCCCGAGCCCCACCTCAGCAAAGCAAAGTGATGCCATAGCGCGGACATCCATTCTTTGCTCAAAACCCTCTTTTGACTTAAAAGTCAAGACTATTATTAGGGAAGAAAATACACAGATACCTTTGCAGCCTCAGATCAGGCAGGTATTTCTAGGGACATGTGCCACACAAGAAGAAACCAGAGACAGAGGTGCACGCTCACGGGTGACTCGTTCAAACAATGGGTGGCACACTTGAGGATGCTAACTAGATTCTTTTTTATAGCATTACTTCTTTTAATTTTTTTTTTTTAGTTGTCAGTGGACTTTATTTATATGTGGTGCTGAGGATCGAACCCAGGGCCTCACTCATGCTAGGCAAGCGCCCTACCACTGAGCCCCAGCCCATCCTGCAAACTAGATTTTTAAGCGATCTCATCATGCCCAGAACATTCTGAAATGTTTTTGTAAAATTAAGCACCCTACCTGTGCAACCCCAAAATGCCTCTCCACTTCATTCAAGTGGAATGAAACATGGGCTCCCATAGACCTCGGCCCGCTGATGGCAGAAGCAGCTCTGTTCATAACAGTGGAAAACCAGAGGCACCCTGGTGTCCTTCCCTGTGCACTACAGAGAAGCCACTCAGGAACACAAAGGAAATGAATCTTGGAAACTACACACTGAGCAAAATAAGCCAGACCTGCAGAGACTGTCCCATGGTCCTGTGCAAATGAAATCTAGAACAGGCAGAACTGACCACAGCAACAAAGTGGCCTGGGCCTGGAGTGGGAGGCAGAGGGGGTACCTGGGGAAACAAGGGAAGTTTTGGATGACAGGAATGTTCCCCATGACAGTTAAGGCTGTGGCTGCGTGGGCACGAGCGTCAGTCGACACTCATCAACCTGTACACATAAGACAGGTGCATTTTGCTGCATGTGAATGATACTTGAATAAAGCTGGTTTTTAAAAACCTCCACTAACCCCTGATTTTATTTTGACCGAATTCTGCTTTCCCTCTTGCACACTCCATTCCACCACCATTTTCCACCGTTCACTGCTTCCTGAATACATCTCTGCCTCAGGTCCTTCTGCCTGGATTGCTCTTCCCCAGGAGTGCACAGCTCTTCTCTCGCCTCCTGCAGGTGTCTTCTAAAATATCACCCTCTACACGGGACCTTCCCGCCGCTTGGCCCCCGCATGCTGAGCACCCTGCCTCTCCATCTTTTCCCCTCCACTGAGCTCCTCCCAACACTTGTTAAACGTTGGTACTTAGTATACATGTGGCACTCAGTGCCTGTCAGGCCGCAGTGTGCGCCCGCCATGTGCCGTCCCTGCTCAGGAAAAAGCAGTGACCCCAAGGAAAGGATTTCTACCTGGAGGGACCGACAGCAAAACAGAGGTCCAACCGCGGTGACTTTATTGGCATGAAGAAAAGCGGAGCCCGGAGGCCCTGGGCCAGTGTCGGGGGCGGTGTGCTTTCAGGAGGGAGGCCTTGGGCGGGGGCGTTTGGGCAGAAACCCAAATTTATGCAGGATGGGGACACGTTAAAGGTTCGTTAACCTGGGTCCAGCCCAGGAGGTGGAGGGGAAGGGCCCACCCAGCAGGAGCAAGGGAGAAGTGGGCCATGGCCGGGCTCTTGACCCTGGCCCAGCTGGGAAACCAGCCTTGAGATCTCGGGCAGGGGCGACCTCTTCAGAGGCCCTTCCTGGCTTACATCTCACCAACTAGGTCAGCGTCTCCCACATGCCACCAGAGCTGGGACACAGCTGTGGACAAAGGACAGGGAGCTGGCCTCGAGAGCCTGACATCCAAATCAGGGCTGAGAAAAACCTGGAAAGAACGGGCCAGCATCCACCCAAGGGAGCGTGGGGTGGCAGGAGCCGGCAGCCTATGGGCCTCTGGCCTCTGCCTTCAAGGCCTGCCTCCCACCCTCGCTGGGGATTGAACCCAGGGCCTGTGCATGCAAGGTGAGTGCTCTATCAACTGAGCTAGGTCCCCAGCTCTCCCCCAGGGTTTCTTGCTTCGACATCTCTCCGTTCACGTATCATCTCATTTTTCTCTTAGCAAAAACATTTTTTCTTTTCTGTGTATATTTGGCCAAACATACCTCTCCACTGCCAAAATTTCTCTTTGTTCAGTTTCAGTGACCACTTCAGACCCAATTATGTCCTAATTTTCAAGTTCCTAGGAGAGGGTCTTTGCAGGGAGTTATATGGACAATTGTAAAAGAAAGAGCTGCCACCCCAAAGGAGGATAGTCCCAGAGGACACCCCAAGTAGAGTACGGTATGGCAGGAGCCAAAACATGTTTGTACAGTGGGACTACTTTCAGAAATATACCCTAAGGAAATGTTCTGTTGAACATGAGCAAAAAATTACCTGAAGGCATCATTTGTCACCTATCTGTAGTGGCAGGGACATGAAATCCAAGGTGGCAACTCAAGTATTCATAGGGATCAGAGAGGTGATAATGTGAGGGAAGGAGGCAGGCCTGGTGGGTGACATCAGGGAGTGGTGGCAACTGTAGCAAAGTGGATTCGCATGCCCTCTCTGAAGGGGCACCTCTGCTACTTGGGTAGCACGCCAGTGTGCTGAGACCCAGATCCCAAGCCTCCCTGTGACGTCCCTGAAAATGCCAAAGAAACAACTGAAGCCATAATTCAATCCATAGCCATCGTTTTTAGCCCAAATACCCTCAAATAAATGTTTTATTAGTGGATTATAGAGCTATCAGCATGTTATTTTAGCAACCCTTAAAGCAGTACCTAAAAGGTTTAAAAAAAAAAAGAAAAAGGTCTGGGGGAGGGAGCAAGGGGGGGGGGGGGGGGGGAAGGGCGGGTGCTGGGGTCTGAATTAGAGCGAGATGTCGTCCTTGCCTGTGGAGTCATGTCACAGTGGAGTCCTCTGTCAGGTACGACTCAAAACCAGAACCATAAACAGAGTTTAAAAAGAAGGTATGTGGGCAAGAATTGCTATGTAATATTGCAAAATTTAAAATAATTGGTTAAAAGGATTTTTCTTTCCCTTAAATCTCGTGCTGCAGGTGTGTGTGTGTATAGCTCTTGGGTGTGGAGAAAGGGGTGGGGAGGACACAGGCTGTGAGGCCCGGAGCTTGGGGTGACCCTCGAGGAGGGAGGCAGAAGGCAAATTTCCAGCTCCAGCAGTCCTTGCTGGTGGAGGTGGCTTTGCCACGTTTGTCATCCCCTAGTGACTCAGGGGTCCTTCCGACAGCTATCAGTGATGGTTTTACGGCCTAATTAAGTTACTACCAAAGGCTTAAGCTCAGAAGAAAATTAGCTTCTTTCCTCCAACTGGCCATCAATGACAGTGGCACCTTGTCCCAGAAATGTCCTGAGCATGTCATTGAGCCACAGTGGTCCACGTGCAAGGCGGGGCGGCCTGACGTTTATGTTGGGACACCTGGGAGCAATGTCCACCCTGGTGGGCAGAAACCGTAGGTCGGTTGCAAAGTTCCTTTTAAAATGGGCACCCGTGTGTGTGGTGAAGAAGCCAGTTATTCACATGTCCTATTTTGGGTGACTTCTGCCCATGGGGCATGAGTGACCAGTGGGTGGGCGTGAACACAGAGAGCCCCTTTTCAGTTTCTGTTTTGAAATGAATCTCGGTTCCCTCCCTCTGCCGCTGTCTTTGCCTTTACAAAAGGATCACAGTTTTCTAACAGAATTGATATGGAATTGTCCTCAGAAGTCCAGAGGAAGTGGCCCTGCCAGGCATTGACCCTCTGCCCCACAGTGGGCACCCCGTCAGGAACGTGTCCTCTGCTTGGAGCTCGTGCCTCCAGCCTGCTTCCTCCCACCTCAGGGCCTTTGCACGAGCTATTCCCGCTACTTGGAATGCCTTCCCCAGGTGGCTCCATGGCTAACTCTTGCCTCTTTTAAGTCTCTGCTCAAAATCTACATTCCTAATGGAGCTATGCGGACAACCTGTGTTTGAAATTGCAACCTGCGTCTCCGGCCCTGGATTTTCCGCCCCTCACCTGGTCTGGTTAAATGCTTTCCCACACCGCCTGTCACATTTGACTTGGGTAGTATGTCATTGGGGTTGTGATGAAGACAGGGATCTCCATTTTGCTCGCGGAGGTATCCCCAGAGCCTAGCACGCCCCGGGCACATGCGGGAGCTCACGCTGTCGACCGAAGGCGTAATGGTTGGCAAGGCCTTCAGCCCGGTGCTTGGGCTGCCCGCCTAGCTGTCCGCTGTGTGACGACCCACCCGGGCGCGGTGGCTCCCGAGTCTGCGGTCAGCAATGCGGACTGGTGCGGGGAGCCAACTGTGGTTGTCCCCTCCCTGAAACAGGGTGACCACAGAGAATATGGTGACATTCCTGGTGACACGAGCACCGCCCTACGGCCCAGGTGCCTGTAAAGCACCTGAAGAACCAGCCGCAGCGGCCTCGGGTTTCCTTGGCATCCTGCGCGGGCACAAGGCTCATGCTCGGCCCCCCAGGTGTCGGTCTTCCAGGGAGATGTCCCCGCTCTCCTGTGACTGGCCATCACTTCATAAGGAAGGATGAGCTGCCAAGGGGACGTGGCTCCGGGCCTGGGTCTGATCCAGCAGCGGAGGCACCGAGCGAGGCCAGGCAGGGAGGAAGGGTGACGTGTCCCACATCCGCTGTTCATTGATCTGATTCATCCCGTTTCCTAGGCGGCTCCCCGGGAAGGTTCTAGGGAATGACTCAAGCGTCAGCTGAGCAGGGTCCACGGGCTGCGCCAGCGTTGCCATCAGGACTGACATTAGAGGAGACTCGGTTACAGAGAATATTAATTGCTGCTGGGAGCCAGGGGTGACGCTAAACGGAAATGAAAAGTCACCACTGAGTCGTGCCACCAGGGAGCCTTTGTGAGGGGAGTGGGTGCTGAGCCAGTGTGAGACTTTATTTAATGACTTATTCCTACTTCCTGTCACTAACTCCTGTGTAAGGGCAGATTTGGTTGGAGCTGTCTTCCCGGCCCCAGTTCCACATATGGAGACCCTGACACTCAGACCTCAGATGGCAAGGGAGACTGGGCCTCTCAAAGAGAATCAAGCCAAAGTGAGGTCATTAGGGAAGCCCTGAACCCATATGAATAGTGTCCTTATGAGAGATTAGGACATAGGCACACACAAGGGACGGCCAGGGAAGGACACAGGGAGAAGACCCTCTGCCCAGCAACAGGGGCGTCAGAAGGAAGCCACCTTGTGGCACCTTGATCCTGGCTTCCAGCCTCCAGAGCTGTGAGGAAGCAGACCTGCGGCTCCTCACTCTGCGTCCCATCAAGGAAAATTAAGCCCCCACAGTACTCGGTCACAGGGTCACTTGATTTTGCATGTGAGAAATCTTCTTGCTCTGGGAATAGGAACTAAGCTTCGATTTCCAAAGTCCCCCTTGTAGTGCTTGTAGGCCTGTCCAGGATCAGAATCTAGTTTCCCGAGTCCTCCAGTTTAAAAAGAACATATCTTCAAGTTTCAAAAAATATAGAATATTGAAACTGAATGATTGCTTCTCCTCACATCATTTAATTTGTACTGCCTGCCCATTATCAATTTCCTCTAGCCCAAAACTGCCGGGAACACATCTGTAGTCAAAGAAGGTTAGATTTCTCTCTCTCTCTCTTTTTTTTGGTATTTGGAATTGATTGAACTCAGGGGCACTTGACCACCGAGCCACATTCCCAGCCCTATTTTGTATTTTATTTAGAGACAGGGTCACACTGTGTTGCTTAGCACCTTGCTTTTGCTGAGGCTGGCTGTGAATTCTCAATCCTCCTGCCTCAGCCTCCCAAGCCGCTGGGATTACAGGTGTGCATCACCGTGCCTGGTGAGAAGGTTACATTTTTTTGACTCACTGATAAAGCCATAGCCATGGAGAACTGTGGGGGTGTCAGTGAGGAGTGAGGACAGGGCGTTCCAGGGCTGTGGCCTGAGCGGTGTGAGCTGGGGGAGCACCCATAGAAAGAGCTTTGCTCCAGATTGGATGC